AACATTACAAAGTACAAACCCCTAGAGGGACAATACAAAGTACAAGCCACTAGAGGGACATTACAAAGTACAAGCCACTAGAGGAACATTACAAAGTACAAGCCACTAGAGGGACAATACAACGTACAAGCCACTAGAGGGAGGTAAAGTACAAGCCACTAGAGGAATATTACAAAGTACAATCCCCTAGAGGGACAATACAAAGTACAAGCCACTAGAGGGACATTACAAAGTACAAGCCACTATAGTGACATTACAAAGTACAAGCACTATAGTGACATTACAAAGTACAAGCACTATAGTGACATTACAAAGAACAAGCACTATAGGGACATTACAAAGAACAGACCACTAGAGGGACATTACAAAGAACAGACCACTAGAGGGACATTACAAAGTACACACACTATAGTGACATTACAAAGTACAAGCACTATAGTGACATTACAAAGAACAAGCACTATAGGGACATTACAAAGAACAGACCACTATAGGGACATTACAAAGAACATACCACTAGAGGGACATTACAAAGAACAGACCACTATAGGGACATTACAAAGTACACACACTATAGTGACATTACAAAGTACAAGCACTATAGTGACATTACAAAGAACAAGCACTATAGGGACATTACAAAGAACAGACCACTATAGGGACATTACAAAGAACAGACCACTAGAGGGACATTACAAAGAACAGATCACTAGAGGGACATTACAAAGAACAAGCCACTAGAGGGACATTACAAAGAACAGACAACTAGAGGGACATTACAAAGTACAAACACTATAGTGACATTACAAAGAACAAGCACTATAGGGACATTACAAAGAACAGACCAGTATAGGGACATTACAAAGAACAGACCACTAGAGGGACATTACAGAGTACAAACACTATAGTGACATTACAAAGTACAAGCACTATAGTGACATTACAAAGTACAAGCACTATAGTGACATTACAAAGTACAAGCACTATAGTGACATTACAAAGTACAAGCACTATAGTGCCATTACTAAGAACAAGCACTATAAGGACATTACAAAGTACAAACACTATAGTAACATTACAAAGTACAAGCACTATAGTGACATTACAAAGTACAAGCACTATAGTGACATTACAAAGTACAAGCACTATAGTGACATTACAAAGTACAAGCACTATAGTGACATTACAAAGAACAAGCACTATAGGGACATTACAAAGAACAGACCAGTATAGGGACATTACAAAGAACAGACCACTAGAGGGACATTACAAAGAACAGACCACTATAGGGACATTACAAAGTACAAACACTATAGTGACATTACAAAGTACAAGCACTATAGGGACATTACAAAGTACAAGCACTATAGGGACATTACAAAGTACAAACACTATAGGGACATAACAAAGTACAAACACTATAGTGACATTACAAAGTACAAGCCACTAGAGGGACATTACAAAGTACAAACACTATAGGGACATAACAAAGTACAAACACTATAGTGACATTACAAAGTAGAAGCCACTATAGGGACATTACAAAGTATAAGCCTCTAGAGGGACATTACAAAGTACAAGCCGTTATAGGGACATTACAAAGTACAAACACTATAGGGACATAACAAAGTACAAACACTATAGTGACATTACAAAGTAGAAGCCACTATAGGGACATTACAAAGTATAAGCCTCTAGAGGGACATTACAAAGTACAAGCCACTATAGGGACATTACAAAGTACAAACACTATAGTGACATTACAAAGTACAAGCACTATAGGGACATTACAAAGTACAAACACTATAGTGACATTACAAAGTACAAGCACTATAGTGACATTACAAAGTACAAGCACTATAGGGACATTACAAAGTACAAACACTATAGTGACATTACAAAGTACAAGCCACTATAGGGACATTACAAAGTACAAGCACTATAGTGACATTACAAAGTACAAACACTATAGGGACATTACAAAGTACAAGCACTAGAGGGACATTACAAAGTACAAGCCACTAGAGGGACAATACAAAGTAGAAGCCACTAGAGGGAGGGAAAGTACAAGCCACTAGAGGGACATTACAAAGTACAAGCCACTAGAGGAACATTACAAAGTACAAACCCCTAGAGGGACAATACAAAGTACAAGCCACTAGAGGGACATTACAAAGTACAAGCCACTAGAGGAACATTACAAAGTACAAGCCACTAGAGGGACAATACAACGTACAAGCCACTAGAGGGAGGTAAAGTACAAGCCACTAGAGGAATATTACAAAGTACAATCCCCTAGAGGGACAATACAAAGTACAAGCCACTAGAGGGACATTACAAAGTACAAGCCACTATAGTGACATTACAAAGTACAAGCACTATAGTGACATTACAAAGTACAAGCACTATAGTGACATTACAAAGAACAAGCACTATAGGGACATTACAAAGAACAGACCACTAGAGGGACATTACAAAGAACAGACCACTAGAGGGACATTACAAAGTACACACACTATAGTGACATTACAAAGTACAAGCACTATAGTGACATTACAAAGAACAAGCACTATAGGGACATTACAAAGAACAGACCACTATAGGGACATTACAAAGAACATACCACTAGAGGGACATTACAAAGAACAGACCACTATAGGGACATTACAAAGTACACACACTATAGTGACATTACAAAGTACAAGCACTATAGTGACATTACAAAGAACAAGCACTATAGGGACATTACAAAGAACAGACCACTATAGGGACATTACAAAGAACAGACCACTAGAGGGACATAACAAAGAACAGACCACTATAGGGACATTACAAAGTACAAACACTATAGTGACATTACAAAGTACAAGCACTATAGGGACATTACAAAGTACAAGCACTAAAGGGACATTACAAAGTACAAGCCTCTAGAGGGACATTACAAAGTACAAACACTATAGGGACATTACAAAGTACAAGCACTATAGGGACATTACAAAGTACAAGCACTATAGGGACATTACAAAGTACAAACACTATAGGGACATTACAAAGTACAAACCCCTAGAGGGACATTACAAAGTACAAGCCACTAGAGGAACATTACAAAGTACAAACCCCTAGAGGGACAATACAAAGTACAAGCCACTAGAGGAACATTACAAAGTACAAGCCACTAGAGGAACATTACAAAGTACAAGCCACTAGAGGGACAATACAACGTACAAGCCACTAGAGGGAGGTAAAGTACAAGCCACTAGAGGAATATTACAAAGTACAATCCCCTAGAGGGACTTTCCAGTCGGGTTAAATTCATAAACAGGGACGTTGTAATGTCCCTGGGATTTTATATAATGTCCTGGGTATTTTATTAATATAACTTCCGTTCAGATTGTCACATGTAATGAAATGTAAAATCAAATGACAAATGTTTTCTTTATATTCCCGAGGATCGAACTCGCAACCTTCATAGGTACAGATACCTTCAACAGATATTTTATGCGCGTTTCCTAAGGTTCATGGAAAGTATGTTCGAAACATAAAAATGTTGATAAATGTTGTTTTAAATTTCTTTTTTTTCGGTTTATAAGCATGGAAAAACCCTTTCCCTCGGTTTTGGTAGACAGAGCATGCCCTGGGGAGAGGGAAAAACCAAGGGGGCTAGGCCCTCAGGGCATGCATAAAATATCTGTTGAAGGTATCTGTACCTATGAAGGTTGCGAGTTCGATCCTCGGGAATATAAAGAAAACATTTGTCATTTGATTTTACATTTCATTACATGTGACAATCTGAACGGAAGTTATATTAATAAAATACCCAGGACATTATATAAAATCCCAGGGACATTACAACGTCCCTGTTTATGAATTTAACCCGACTGGAAAGTAAAACCTCACAATAGGTTTTAATGCCTATAGAAAGAAGTCTCTTACTTAATAGCGATCCCAATGAATAGGTTTATAATACAAAGTACAAGCCTCTAGAGGGAGGTAAAGCACAAGCCACTAGAGGGACATTACAAAGTACAAGCCTCTAGAGGTAGGTAAAGTATTAGCCACTAGAGGGATATTACAAAGTACAAGCCTCTATAGGGACATTACAAAGTACAAGCCTCTAGAGGGACATAACAAAGTACAAGCACTATAGGGACATTACAAAGTACAAGCCTCTGGTACCACATGTCAATATATGTGTTCTCCAGGACACATGTCAGTATCTGTGTTCTCCAGGACACATGTAAGTATCTATGTTGTTATCCATGACACATGTCAGTATCTGTGTTGTTCTCCAGGACATATGTCAGTATCTATGTTGTTCTGCAGGACACATGTCAGTATCTATGTTGTTCTCCAGGACACATGTCAGTACATATGTTGTTCTCCAGGACACATGTCAGTATCTGTGTTCTGCAGGACACATGTCAGTATCTATGTTATTCTGCAGGACACATGTCAGTATCTATGTTGTTCTGCAGGACACATGTCAGTATCTATGTTGTTCTCCAGGACACATGTCAGTACATATGTTGTTCTCCAGGACACATGTCAGTATCTGTGTTCTGCAGGACACATGTCAGTATCTATGTTATTCTCCAGGACACATGTCAGTATCTATGTTATTCTCCAGGACACATGTCAGTATCTATGTTATTCTGCAGGACACATGTCAGTATCTATGTTGTTCTGCAGGACACATGTCAGTATCTATGTTGTTCTCCAGGACACATGTCAGTATCTATGTTATTCTGCAGGACACATGTCAGTATCTATGTTATTCTGCAGGACACATGTCAGTATCTATGTTATTCTGCAGGACACATGTCAGTATCTATGTTGTTCTGCAGGACACATGTCAGTATCTATGTTATTCTGCAGGACACATGTCAGTATCTATGTTGTTCTCCAGGAGACATGTCAGTATCTGTGTTGTTCTGCAGGACACATGTCAGTATCTATGTTGATCTCCAGGATACATGTCAGTTTCTTATGTTGATCTCCAGGACACATGTCAGTATCTGGCAGTTGGGCCAGTATGTCAACAGGTCCCCAACAGGCCAGACCCGCCTCCTGGTGGAAAAGTTTCCGACATGATGGCCATACCCAGAAAAAACAGCAAACAGGCTGACATGGTGTGGATTCTATTCTCTGATCAGAATGAACTGAAGTGAGTTTGATAACAGAGCTTACAAAATTAAATGGTACAGCAGAGCTCCAACATTTTGTAAAGAGAGGGCAAAAACATCATTTCTTTTCTTCTGAATGCTTGAAGGAATCCAATTGTGAAACATACTTGACAAACATAAATTCATGGCCACCAACGAAAAAAATACAGATTTTAATTACTGCTTTCATTTTGCAGGCAAAAAATGTTAACTTTTTAAATGACCATTAAATGCCTTTTTATTATACCTGACTGTAAAATGTTGTGGCACATTGTCCGTGGCCCATCCATCCATCCATTGTAAGCTTTTACCTTTTTGACACTTCTAAAAGCAGAGGGCCTATGAAGCTGAAACTTTGCAGATATGATTCCAGCTATGGCAGGTATAGTCTCTAGAGAAAGTGCTCACAGTATTCTATTTATATGGCAGCCATATTGACTGTCATTTTTGCCCATTACTCATGTATTTCTCAGTGGAATGTATTTGGAATAACATAAATTTTGTCTTAAACATATTTTTTTTTTTTACCAAGCTACAGTGATTGACATTAATGCATGTATTTACCTCACCTGACTGAAGGTCAAGTGGGCTTATGTCATGGCCTGCTTCTCGAGTGTCTGTCATCCTCTGCATCTGTGGTGTCATCCTGATCGGTCAAATATGTAGTTAAGACTAAGTACCGGGTAAATAATGGAGGTAAATAATCAGGCTTATTCAAGGGATCAGTACCTGAGACTAACCATCTCAAAACAGAGCATTCCAATATTTATCAAGTAGGGGTGTAAAACTAGATGTCAGTACTGTTTTATTCATGACAAGTGAATAGTTTAGCACCTAAAAGTTCATAGACTTCATACATAGAGTTAAGTCCCACACACAGGTCTATATCTCTCTCTCCAGTAGAGATGTTCATGTTTCTTCTTGTTTACTGCGTATTTACAACCTCCATGGTATGCATCAGTCATTGTGCATTATGTTGAGACAGTTTTATATACCCAGTAAATACAATAGCGTGACTACCACTTGTCAATGCTCACTTCTCCTCATTAAAACATCAGATGTTCATTCTGCAGGAAACTGCTTCTCTAGTTATATGAAAACAATAATTGTTTAGGCAAAGTCAATAAAGTTAATGATTGTTAAATGCAATGGTTTTATACTTGCCTGACGCCACACCTACGGGACCTGGGAACTATGTGCCTGGACTGGTGGCGGCAGTTGCCAGTTGTCAGGCGCCTGAGGAAAGTCATTTTTGTCTACAGTCCCTACAGTGGGGGGCCTTGTAGTTCGGTCTTTCTGAGGGGACTGTCACTTTGACGAAGTTGCTTTCCAACATATGATATCTGCTGTTGAGAGAGTTAGGAAGAGAGAAGATAGAACTGTTGCTGGTTCACATCCAGGCGCCTGTTGAAAACAGCCGGACCAGATCAAGGCTGTCACATCAATGGAGTCTTGAAAAACTGTTTTAGTAAAGCCGAGTGCCTAGCGATGGTGATGGTGTATGTGAACGGCAACAGGAACCAGCAGACTGGCTGGAAGAATTGTCTGACAAAGTGCAGGAACGCCGATCCGCTGACTGTCAGGAACTGGTGACATCCGTGCTAACAGGTGGCAAAATCAGGTCATCAGGTTAATGGAGAAGCAGTTCCCAAAAGGCACAGATGGTTGAAGGATTAAAAAATCCTACCGGTGCAGAGGGTGTAGATTGGGGAGGAAGACCCGAAGGAACCATCGACAATGTAGACGAGGTCTCCGAAGTCATAGCAGGAGGTGGAGGAGCTGCCCCAACAGTGGAGGAGAGGTTGGTAACTGAGGAGGAGGACCTGGCATCTTCTTCTGTTTCACAAATGATTAAAGGGCTTAATAAGAGCCTTTCTGTAAGATGCAATTTTTTAACTTATCCTGCATTACTCTTTATTGCATCTACTGCTGTCTTTTGACAGAGCGAAGAACTGTGTGAGATCCAGCTGCTGAAGAAAAATTCTTCCAACCAGTAGAGGCAGCAGTCGGCACGTGACCCGGAAGTCATGACGTTACATCAAAACACATAACTGCTTTGTCACCTCAACGGAAGAACATCCCTTGTGGAAATTAAAGCTTATTGTTTCTTTTCTTTGCTTGTTTCTACATTCATTATATACTGCTACATTGTTACCTATTTATGGGCTGTTTTCTTTAGGGTCTTCCCATTCGTAATTTGTAACGTTTATCGCTTGTTTGTGGCTCTAGTCACAGTAATTTAAGCACCATTTTTTGTTTTCCTCGCCATTTTTGCTATTCACCATGTGGCCACGTATTTTCATGTTCTGCGTTTCTTTATTTGGCTTAGATAATACACTTTATACAATTTATCTATTTTGCCTTTTCACTACCTTTTAGCGTAATTGTTTGCTCTCATCAACTTAAATAAAATACAAAGTTTTTGAGTTACATTATGCTTCCCGTACTTTGTGGCTTTGCCACATAGTTCTGTTTTTGCTTAAATTCCAGACTTTGTGACTCGCCGAACTTGCTGCCGCGGGAACAAATCTGGTCGGGCCCGCCCCTTCTGCCTTGATTGTATGACTTCGATATTGCAGTCCTTTGTCGGTGTGCTCCTTCAACTCAATACGAGTATCCAGGAAACACCTCACTCAACGTGCTCGTCGACCCCCTGATATGGCTTACAACTCAGAAACTGCAGTCTTTTTCACCTCTCTTGCCGTCACCTTTATTGACAACATCATCCTCCCTCCGGTGACGCCGATAACGTGACTGGCTTTCCGTCTCCTCCGCAATCTACATCGACAGCAGCAAAGCTGTCTATGCTCCTGGTGCCGTCGGTGCTCCTGGCGCCTCTGGCAATTCCGAGTAGCAACGCCACTGGTGCCCTTGGCACCTGAGTATCTCAGCCAATCATCTACTCTGTTTCGGCATAAGTGGTGCCATCGGCAATTGTTTCACTGGCTTCACCTTCTATTACTGACTCTCATAGATCATCACAACAGAGATACAAGGTGAAACCACGCCTTGGTCTGATTCATCTTGGCCACTGGTTATCTGGATGAGGTTTGGTTTTGCGATGTTCTCCTTAGCCCCATCGTTTAAAGCTCCATGCTTTAGGAGAGATGACCTGCAGGTTCACTCTTTGGATGAGGCTGAAGGAGCTCATATGTTCGTTGGAAGCCGCTTGTCCTATACATGCTAGTTTTCCATCAAAACAGGGCCTCTGGTGGAAGCGTCTGTATCAGAACTGGCAGATCTTCACTATTCAGGCTCATTTAGCCTGTTTGACCCCTTCATCATAGGCTACCGGGTACCCACTTTTCAGGATCCTCGTTGTACTTGAAAAATATCAATGAAAACTCATTGTAACCTATCACAAGTTTTTAGTATGTTTTAGGATAAATTAGGTAAATACATCCCCTCCACTCAACCTTTCACACGCTTGTTTAATTGATATAATACTTTTCATTCTAGTTCTTGGATGACGGAAATTGTGAAAACGGTATGTACCATACACAACTATCGAGAGTTTACATTGATCTTTGAATACTTACATGTACTTGATATAACTAATATTTCATCCCATGGGAGAGTCCGTGGTCAAATGGTATGAGCGACAAATAGGTTAAATGTTGCAATAGGTCATTTGCATATGAATATATTGAAACTCAAAATATTAAACAAATACCAATGAACAACCTTGACAAACATAAGACGCCATGTGAAACAAAGAAAAATGTGTTCAAAAGAACGTCAGTGCACACGAAAAGACACTGAACACAATAAGGATTCACAATAAGCAATGCCAACTGTGTTGTGCTCCATGGTGTTGTGTTGCCCAATGCACGCACATATCCTACACAGCAGAACAAGCCGATATCACTCGGAATGTTGTACAAATTGCAGTGCCCTCTGGTGCTGTTTGTTGTGAATGTTGCCCTTTAGTGTTTGGTGTATACTGATGTCCTTTTGTACCCACTGTTTTTATTCTTTTCTTTGCTTCTTATATGTCAGGGTTGTTCTTTGAGGTTTGTTTTGTATTTTAAGGTTCATTATTCATATCCTTATAATTACCTTTTTTCATAACATTTGACAATAACTGCGTATGGTTGACCGATATGATAATTGATGTACTCTTTCACCGAATGACTGAGCTGACTCATCAGGATCGGGGAATCTCACTTGGAGACTCGCATCCCAAATGCTTATGCATTCAGTCACTGGTTTGCCTGATACAGATTTGATTGTTTACAAGTGGCATTGATATAGATGGAATATTGCTGACTGTAGCCTTAACAACATTCATTCACTCGGTCATGTAATAGTAGCGTATGATCTAGTACAACCATTTATTATTGATTTACCTCTACCTCTACCCCGTGACGAAACAATACATTTCAATGTACACCCCCAAGTCACGTGACTGACTCTAACCTCGAATATTGTCTCTTCCAATGATCAGTATTGACCTGTTGTGATGAATATTGTCTCTTCCAATGATCAATATTGACCTGTTGTGATGAATATTGTCTCTTCCAATGATCAATATTGACCTGTTTTGATGAATATTGACTTGTCTGCTGTAAAACAAGGTGGCCTCTGGTACCAACATTTCACGGTTCACAGCTACGTCACGGTAGTGAAACAGAGGACAGTTTAAAGGCTGAATTTCAGTATAACAAAACAAATGATTACACGTGACAAGGTCAATATGCAAAATCAAGGACCTCGATCTCAGGTCCTTGTTTTCGCATATTGACCGCAACAAGAGTAATTAATTATTTGTATATTATTCTATTGAGGCAGTTCAATATGAAAGCACTATATCTTTCAGCTACCCCCACCCCCACAGCCACCCCAGGCTCAAGGTCCTCCCCAGGGTACACCGAGTGCCCCTCCTCCAGGAGGGCCCCCACCCCCAGGCTTCAACCCTGGAGTAACAGGTATGCCCTTACCTACACATTGTTTCTTTGTAGAACAAATATGTGTTGCAGTCTGACGAAAAATCTGTTTAAAATAGTATTTGACTCCTACAAAATGTGACTATTGTAAAATTGTATCTTGTTTACATTGACCTTTTCATGAGATTAGCTGTTGATTACATGCAGCCATACAAAATGATTATATGTCAGTGTGCCATTATTCTTTACCTACATTGTGTCATTTTTTCTTTGTCCTAGGGTGTGCCATTCTTCTCTTGTCCTCAGTGTGTCATGCTTTCTTTATCTTGAGTGTGTCATGATCTCTTTATCTCCAGTGTGTCATGCTTTCTTTATTCTCAGTGTGCCATGCTCTGTCACCAGTGTGTCATGCTTTCTTTATCCCCAGTGTGTCATGCTTTCTTTATCCCCAGTGTGTCATGCTTTCTTTATCCCCAGTGTGTCATGCTTTCTATATCCCCAGTGTGTCATGCTTTCTTTATCTTTGATGTGCCATGCTTTCTTTATCCCCAGTGTGTCATGCTTTCTTTATCCCCAGTGTGTCATGCTTTCTTTATCCCCAGTGTGTCATGCTTTCTTCATCCTCGTAACACACATGGTTCAGGTTTAGCATGAGTAAATTGTGTGATGACATTTGATTAATACAGGTGCTCCTCCTCATTACCCTCCACCCCAGGGCAGCCAAGCCCCACCCCCTTACTATCAGGGTCAGCAGCCAAGGCAAGGTAACATGCCCTACCCTCAGCAGCGAGGGGGACACTACCCCCAGCAGCGTGGAGGAAACAATGGCGGGAACACAACTGTTGTTGTGCAGGACCGAGGGAGGAGGGGGTCAGGGGATGGGCTTGCTACAGGTATGTTGAAGGAGGTGTCCCCATAGTGGCCTTTCCACACCTTTGTTTCTAATCTTTTTTCGATGAAGGTTAAATTGTGGGTGCACTCATAGCACTCAAGCTTGTATAAAAGGGTCCTGATTTTCAAGATCACATTCACATGCAATCCTTTAACTTTTGAGGTTGTCTCATTTGCTCATGAATGCTTTTGCTCTGTTGCAGGCATGCTGATGGGTGCTGCTCTTGGCTATGGCATGAGTCGACCTTGGGGCTTCGGCTATGGGTGGGGGTATGGAGGATATGGAGGGTATGGAGGCTGGGGTGGGTATGGGGGCTACCATGGAGGTGACAATATCAATATTAACAACCATTATGATATTGACAATACAAACATTGAAAACACCAACATCACGGAGAATAACACTGAGAATAACTATGGTGAACAAGGGCAAGAAGGGGGTTATGATCAGGGGGGTTATGATCAGGGGGGTTATGATCAGGGGGGTTATGATCAAGGGGGTTATGATCAGGGTGGGTATGATGATGGAGGATATGATGGGGGATATGACGACTATGGGGGTGGAGATGATTTTGGTGGAGGTGATTTTGGTGGGGATGATTTTGGTGGTGGTGACTTTGGGGGTGACTTCTAATGCTTGTGTTATTTTGTATTTTGTGATAATCAAAAATATTCTTCAGGTGACAACTGATTTATTTTTTGTCTTGGGAGGATGTGAGGGTAATTGCACTACTGTTAATTGTCTTACATCTCCATGATCTTGAAAACTGAAACTTTGCAAGGATGACCTCAGCTATGGTCATATAACTTGTATCATATCTTAACGTGACCTCCACATCTGTCATATTTTGCCCATGTCTGCATACCGTATGTAATTATTAAAAAATGATATCCAATGAATATTATGGTATTGGAAATAACACAATATGATACTGCCTTATGCTGAGTGTTTACCCTGCTGTGGCTTTCAGCTTTTGTGCATTGTGATATCTGGCCATCTTCAAACTCAGACCACATTTTGGCCCACTGCTCAGCCAATTACTCAGCCACACATTATATTTTTTGTTTCACAGGCCCACCCTCCCTACTGAAAAGCAGCTGATCCAAGAAATAAATTAGACATACAAAAATATATTTTTATGATGTCTCCCGCTAGTCATATAGACAATAAAAACGGTTATATATTAGTTCCATGTCTTCAAGAAGGCAGCTGCAGTTTTTAATCCACAGCAGAATAACTTTCATATAAATAAATACTTAATAACTTAACCACATAGCCAGCTATTTTTATTTTTATTTTGACTGATCTTGTGTGGAAAGATGGAATAAATCTGATAAACATAAAAAAAAAGAAGTGAGGCCTCACGTATCAATGTGAAATCTAATTATAGGCAATATACAGGGAGGATATCTGTTGTGGAAGAACCCCTGTTACTTTCTTTGTAAGACTCCTTACAACTAATAATATTCAAGACAAAATGAGGTGAGCTGTAGAACCTAGTAACTCTATTCTTCTGTCAGTATCATAATGACATATTTATGTGGAGATATATATTTTGTGCCTTTATAATGGGGAGGTCATGGGTGGAGTTTAGAATGATCTGAACAGTTTTGTGTTTCTTTGAGTATCGGTAGTCACTGTGTGATACAGTTGCGGGTAAAGCGGAATGTTCATGTTGTCCATTGCCTCTCAACTTTAAGTCTATTTCATGACTGTAAGCAAACACATGCAAGAGTTATGTTTACTTGCTTGACTTATTTCTACAGATTGTTAACATTAGGATCCTGTTTATTGCATATTCTTGTCTTCTGGCCCTGAAGAAGAGTAGACTGTTTATGTCTGCCCGTTATGGTTGAAATTCAGGATTTGGTCTTTGGAGGTGTTTTGCAAATTTGAAAATGGATGATACTATCTGCTTTTGAAGATGCATGTATATTAAGTTCTGTGGTTTTATCGCATTTGCTCTGCATCAGTGAGATGAATTGTTTCCATGTCAGGAGACATGCAGTTGTGACTATAGTTTATATTTTCCCTTGAGATCCTTGGAGTCTTTGTGTTCATGTATGGCACAATACAAATGATGTACAAGTCCAACTGTTATGTATCTAGGGACATCTTAGATACCTTGACCTCACAGTGTTGAGGGCTACCCCAATATGTACACCATTGCCTTGTACATACTCATACCTCGTCGTGTATACTAGTGGAATGATCCATATACTTACTGTAATCTAATCAAACAGCAAAAAGCACTGCTTTTTAGCGCTGAGTAGAGCACATCCATAAAAACAATAAAAGTATATTCCTAAAATCAACACACAGTTTATATGTTAATCTGTTGACTGGCATTAAGTTCATAGGCAATATAATAATTAAACCAACAACATTGGCATAAACTTATTACAACTGCTGCTCAATAAACCGTGTATGTGTTTATATTCAACTTGGTATGTCCGCTATCCGGTCATTTAGAGACATAAATGCGAAGTTCATTAATATGAATGATTTCGCATTTATTTCACATGCGCGTTAATTTCAAGATTTACAATATTAACCAGGCACAGAGTACACTAGTAGACAGTGGTCAATGTGATCACTATTTAACATTTACAACTGTCTATTCTCAGCTTATGCAGAGTCAGTGCCTGGAAACAACAATACACTTTCAGGCAATGTACAGTGTATATGGACAAGATGTTTTTGCTATCATAAAACACCTGAAGTATTTGTAAATAAATACTCTGTAGTCAATTTGCCAGTTTGAATGACACTCTGTGTTAACATTTGTAAACACCCAAGGCTTTTGTTGTTTCTCATTTGATAAATATTTCATTGGCTGTACCAAAGTAGTCATGTGTGATAGATTGTACATGTTATACATATGAGGTGGATTCACATATTCTGAGCTTCACATAGAAAGACTTAACCTTACACATTAAAATAAAATGTTGTCTTTTTTCAACATAATTCCACTCCACGCTGATACACTTTTTCCGATGGTGTTGGAAGGATTTTGTCCCAGTGTCATAGAAGTCCTTCTATTTGCTGTTCAAAAAATTCTCCCCAGCTGCTGAGACATCATCGTTCGAGTCAAAATGTGGGCTCCAGGTAGAGCTTTCGTCAAGTTTGGGAACAGATCAAGAGAATGGCTGCCTGTACAAACTGTGAGAAACAACCTCCTCCAGACTGGAACATCTCGGTGGCCATACATAGATATATACATGATATAGGCATAATGTTGCCAAGGTTCTCCTTGCCATGGCTGCCTGTACAAACTGTGAGAAACAACCTCCTCCAGATTGGAACATCTCGGTGGCCATACATAGATATATACATGATATAGGCATAATGTTGCCAAGGTTCTCCTTGCCATGGCTGCCTGTACAAACTGTGAGACACAACCTCCTCCAGATTGGAACATCCCTGGAGATTGATGGCAGCTACTTCGTGTAGTCCCCATGGGATTCCTCTCATACATTTATATAGTATTCATTTCTAGATGTGTTTTTCTGTGATATTAGCTGTGCCAGTCTTTGTTGTTGATGACATTTGAAATATTTATTTTAATGGTATTTACAATAATTTTGTATAAGAAACTATATGAGTTGTTGATCTGTCAATTTTATTTACTTATTTATGAAACTATCTTTCTGTAGATATACATATTGTTATATTTCTACTTCAAGAGATCTATATATCTCAAATTGTAATATTGTTATATGTTAACAGCAAGTACTGTGATAATTCACTGAATCTCAATAAATGCACTCTTCAACCAATGTCCATGCGTTGCTGTTTACTTTATGCATTGTTCTAGACCTTGCTGTACTTCCATGACTCTCTCTCTCCCTCTCGCGCACACACACACACACACACACACACACACACACACACACAGAGGGTATATATTCAGTGCAGAATGAGGTGTACAGAAGCAGGTATATTTAGTGATGTTGAACCAAAGTCAGTACCCTGCATTGTGCCTGGCAATTCAAGTACACAGCTGATGTCAAAGTGCTCATGTACAAGGTGCATGATAGTTGCAGAATGTGATGGAGGTAGACCATTTCATTCAACAGAGACCAATCAATGATTAAATGTGTGAAACAGGGCAAAGGATGAGCAACAAGCAAGGGTCGGGATCAAATGAAAATCACTAAAAGTCACAAAACTTTCAAAGAGCTTTCAAAGAAATCTAATACATAATGAGACAAGGAAGTCCCACTTAAACAACAAGTTTTTATCTTAAAGAATATTGCAAAAATAATTTCAAAGTGATTCATATAGGTCAAAATATCAAAATCCTCTCAGATAATTTTACTACCAACAACATACATTTGGTTGTCAAAAGGGGGGTGGTCTCCCCCTCCTCTGGGTCTGCTTATGATGGGGAAACCTATAAGGTTACAAGGGAGTGGATATTGTCAAAATGAGAAACCATTACCTTCAAACAATCGGATAGAGAAACAAGGTCATGCATACACTGACGTTATATCATTATGCAAACATATAAAGTCAGAAGGAATGTGTGTATAGTCAGAAAGAAATTTGTCACTTATAGGGTAACCATAGAGTTGCCATTAAACAATATAATCACGAGACTAACCACGGGTAGTCCTGCGGGTACCCGGGTCCTACTCAGTACCCACCCAACCCGAGTACCCCGTCCCAGCCCTACTTTTTATAGTTATCTATCTTGATACAAATGTTGTTTTGTTTGTTTGTTGTTTAAAGCAATATTCCAGCTATATGACTGCGGTCTGCAAATAATCAGTCTGTACCAGACTGGTGAGCACCAATCTACACAATTGGGATACGATGACATTGCATCAACCATGTCAGTTGCCTGACCACCCGATCCCTTTAGTCGCCTCTTATTTTTAGGGCTAGCATAGCTTGCTAAAGACCTAGTCTAACCCAGATCTTCACGGGTTGAAGGAATGAGAAGGCTCAGGAACAATTTCTTGCCGCATCCCTGCAGAGCAAGAAGAGGGTAAGCATGGCAAGAACATGACAAGTGCGCCCCCTCTGCATTCCCACTCAAGACAAAGGTGGGTTACGCTAGCACCCCAATACTACAGCGTAGGTAACCACCCGGACTCATTTCACCAGGTCTCTTATTTCTTTGTCTGTGTCGAAGTGCCAACTGACACATACATTTCAAACGTTCATCATAAGGACATAGGATTCCACTCACTTCCGAACATGCCTACATTTTGGACGTGCTGTCCCTTCATGAGGGAGTACCATTGTTGACTGAAACCAGAGAAAACATTAGGCATACAGCCTTTAGAGTACATGGACAACACCTAATTTCATGAAGAGCACTCCATGTAGTAAAAATTTAAATAGGGCTAATAATCAGATGCCTCGGTTATGTTGCTATGATAAAAAAAATCTATTTAGTGGAGTCCTGAAATTCATGATGGCACTTCTACATTTGCAGTTCTAGTGACTGAGGCATTTAAAAGTTCTGCCGGTTGTTGTAAATTTAAATGTGCTCCTAATTTTAACAGTTTCTCCTGTGGACAGTAATGCTCATGTTCCCGAGGCAAGAGAGTTAACTGACTCGAAAATTCCAGTTTCCACCCTAGCCGAACTAGGCTGGAATTACTGGGCTCGATCGTAGCGCCACCAGTGGCTACTGCCAGTTATGTCCCTTCTAAGCCTCTCCTATAGACCAATCAGATTCCACCTCTAGTATCGCTTGCATTTGCTTCACACGAAATGGCGGCGCCCAGTCAGGACGATCTGATCGACAATCAGGATACATATTGTTATAAAACAGGTCTTACATCACGAAATGCATCAAATCACGTGAGCACCTTGATTAAAAGCATGAAAAGATTTGGAAAATATCTGCTGACATCGAGTTAGCGGTGTACATGCTTCGCAAATCCTGCAATCGACCGAAATCGGCATGACAGTTTACGAACCGGATTTCGATTTTGTTGCACGATTTTGATTGGACTATGCAGAGGCTCGTTAGTCAAGCCAAAATGTAACTCAATAATACCAGGCAAGGGTGGCAAGGGTGGAAACTGGACTTTTATGGTCAGTTAACGCTCTAACCTCAGGAAGATGAGTAATGCAAGGTACCACAAAGGCTGATTTACATTCATCAGAGCCTGACAATATATGCCATGACAGTTTGAATGTTGTGACCTGTTGAAGGTGGACAGAAAACGGACTATCCAACACCGGAGACGGCATCACCAGAGGAACCTGATGTGTATGGTGGTGCACCGGAGGGTTTAAGTACATGGTGACGCGTTTGGCATCGTCTAGGATTCCACTAAGGTTCTCTTGGATCTATGTTATATAGCTTCGGTGCTCGAACATCAGCGCATGTTGGTTTGTTTGTTTGTTGTTTACACCACACTCAGCAATATTCCAGCTATATGACGGCGGTCTGTAAATAATAGAGTCTGGACCAGACAATCCAGTGATTCATATCATGAGCATTGACCTGAGCAATTCATACTATTGTTGTAGTTGACAAGGGAGGTTGGAGTAGTGTGTTTATCTAACAGAATAGACTGGCTGGTGTATGTCTGGACTACTCCACATTATGTCCAGAACTTGATGAGATGTGGGAGGTTAGTGAACTTACACTAATTAGACAATTCAAACTTCTAACTTGTATTTCTCCAATAAACCACCACTGGTGATACAAGAGAACAGCATCCAAATAATACAAAATTGTCACTAAAATGGACATAAGGATGGCTGTTTTTAGTTGAGATTTTTCTAAGGTTTGTGAATACAATAGATATGAATTTAGCTAAAATATTACTTTCTTTGAAGAGGCATTGAAAACATATCATATCAGGCCAAATTAAATAATTGTTTTTGATGTATAGTTTTCTGTATACTTTGTGAGGTTGGCATCGAAAAATGAAATGAAATTCGTCTGCTGTTGCTGGGGAATTACATACTGTACATGTTCTGTCCTTCCTAGAGATACCATGTCAGCGGCCTGTCTCAATAGGGAGGCTATTATGTGGTAATATATTTTAAAATTGGGTATGATAGAGATTTTGACACTGAGTGACAATGTGTAATTATGAGAAACACAGGATGTGAGGGATGATTTGTTTAATCATGTACTGGCTGGTTAGACAATCTGTGGAAAAAAATTTAAGAAATATGCATCCTTACGTCTTTTGTTTGCTGTAATGGGGCAAAAATAACTGTGCCATGAAACTGCTGTGACACATGCTGTAGGACGTCCTGTATCACCTGTGATGGTCTAGCCTGTGACACATGCTGTAGGGTGTCCTGTATCACCTGTGTTGGTCTAGCCTGTGACACATGCTGTAGAATGTCCTGTATCACCTGTGATGGTCTAGCCTGTGACACATGCTGTAGTATGTCCTGTATCACCTGTGACACATGCTGTAGGGTGTCCTGTATCACCTGTGTTGGTCTAGCCTGTGACACATGCTGTAGGGTGTCCTGTATAACCTGTGACACATGCTGTAGGATGTCCTGTATCACCTGTGACACATGCTGTAGGGTGTCCTGTATCACCTGTGTTGGTCTAGCCTGTGACACATGCTGTAGGGTGTCCTGTATAACCTGTGACACATGCTGTAGGATGTCCTGTATCACATGTGACACATGCTGTAGGGTGTCCTGTATCACCTGTGTTGGTCTAGCCTGTGACACATGCTGTAGGGTGTCCTGTATCTCCTGTGACACATGCTGTAGGGTATCCTGTATCACCTGTGTTGGTCTAGCCTGTGACACATGCTGTAGGGTGTCCTGTAAAACCTGTGACATATGCTGTAGGGTATCCTGTATCACCTGTGATGGTCTAGCCTGTGACACATGCTGTAGGGTGTCCTGTATCACCTGTGACACATGCTGTAGGGTATCCTGTATCACCTGTGTTGGTCTAGCCTGTGACACATGCTGTAGGGTGTCCTGTAAAACCTGTGACATATGCTGTAGGGTATCCTGTATCACCTGTGATGGTCTAGCCTGTGACACATGCTGTAGGGTGTCCTGTATCACCTGTGACACATGCTGTAGGGTGTCCTGTATCACCTGTGACACATGCTGTAGGATGTCCTGTATAACCTGTGACACATGCTGTAGAATGTCCTGTATCACCTGTGATGGTCTAGCCTGTGACACATGCTGTAGGATGTCCTCTATAACCTGTGACACATGCTGTAGGATGTCCTGTATCACCTGTGACACATGCTGTAGGGTGTCCTGTATCACCTGTGACACATGCTGTAGGGTGTCCTGTATCACCTGTGACACATGCTGTAGGATGTCCTGTATCACCTGTGACACATGCTGTAGGATGTCCTGTATCACCTGTGACACATGCTGTAGGGTGTCCTGTATCACCTGTGACACATGCTGTAGGGTGTCCTGTATCACCTGTGACACATGCTGTAGGATGTCCTGTATCACCTGTGACACATGCTGTAGGATGTCCTGTATAACCTGTGACACATGCTGTAGAACGTCCTGTATCACCTGTGATGGTCTAGCCTGTGACACATGCTGTAGGATGTCCTCTATAACCTGTGACACATGCTGTAGGATGTCCTGTATCACCTGTGTTGGTCTAGCCTGTGACACATGCTGTAGGGTGTCCTGTATCACCTGTGTTGGTCTAGCCTGTGACACATGTTGTAGGGTGTCCTGTATAACCTGTGACACATGCTGTAGGGTATCCTGTATCACCTGTGACACATGCTGTAGGGTGTCCTGTATCACCTGTGTTGGTCTAGCCTGTGACACATGCTGTAGGGTGTCCTGTATCACCTGTGTTGGTCTAGCCTGTGACACATGCTGTAGGGTGTCCTGTATAACCTGTGACACATGCTGTAGGGTATCCTGTATCACCTGTGACACATGCTGTAGGGTGTCCTGTATCACCTGTGTTGGTCTAGCCTGTGACACATGCTGTAGGGTGTCCTGTATCACCTGTGACACATGCTGTAGGATGTCCTGTATCACCTGTGACACATGCTGTAGGATGTCCTGTATAACCTGTGACACATGCTGTAGGATGTCCTGTATCACCTGTGACACATGCTGTAGGATGTCCTGTATAACCTGTGACACATGCTGTAGAATGTCCTGTATCACCTGTGATGGTCTAGCCTGTGACACATGCTGTAGGATGTCCTCTATAACCTGTGACACATGCTGTAGAATGTCCTGTATCACCTGTGATGGTCTAGCCTGTGACACATGCTGTAGGGTGTCCTGTATCACCTGTGATGGTCTAGCCTGTGACACATGCTGTAGGGTGTCCTGTATAACCTGTGACACATGCTGTAGGGTATCCTGTATCACCTGTGACACATGCTGTAGGGTGTCCTGTATCACCTGTGACACATGCTGTAGGATGTCCTGTATCACCTGTGTTGGTCTAGCCTGTGACACATGCTGTAGGGTGTCCTGTATCACCTGTGTTGGTCTAGCCTGTGACACATGCTGTAGGGTGTCCTGTATCACCTGTGACACATGCTGTAGGGTGTCCTGTATAACCTGTGTTTGTCTAGCCTGTGACACATGCTGTAGGGTGTCCTGTATCACCTGTGACACATGCTGTAGGATGTCCTGTGTCACCTGTGACACATGCTGTAGGGTGTCCTGTATCACCTGTGACACATGCTGTAGGGTGTCCTGTATCACCTGTGACACATGCTGTAGGATGTCCTGTATCACCTGTGACACATGCTGTAGGGTGTCCTGTATCACCTGTGACACATGCTGTAGGGTGTCCTGTATCACCTGTGCCACATGCTGCAGAATGTCCTGTGTCACCAGTGTTGGTCTTGGTTGGGAAACTGTGTTTGCAGTACCACTCGAAACACCTGATAATGATGGTTGAGTCCAGGCTGAACATGCAGCTTGTAGAGGGTGCCAAGAGCTCCTTCTGGATGTGGACAGTTGTAGAACACACGGCCAATGCGGGAATGGACCAGAGACATAGCACACCTGCACAGAAAACATACACTAAAAATGCACACAGGAGCAAGGTGTCTATTGTCCCTGAGACTACTCACAGTGATGCTATTGTAAATTGAAGTGTTGGTGGCATGTTAATTAAGATGGAATGAAGAAAGTCTAGAAAGGACCTACATAATACAGGGTTCACTGGTCACATAAAGATCATATCCAGTACAGAGGTAGGGTCCAGTTTTGGTGCTGCCATCTGTTGAAGGATGTGTGGCAGTATCTGGTGTTGAGCGGTACTTCAAATCATTGTCTGAAATTGAAACAAAGTGTCACAGCACTGTAGCTCACCTGGATATGTAGTCAACAGCTCAAAGGTGGACACGTAACAAAAGTTCTTGTCAGCATTTGTTTTCAAATATTTTCTGCATTAATACTGAGGTCAAAAATATTAATACATATGAAACAAGTAACTAATTTTCAACAATCTTTCTAAATCTGCAAGCATGAATTTGCTATTTTACAACAATGCACAACAGTTACATTTCCTTTACAGAAAGATTCAACTCTGTGCCTTATTTCTCTTTAACAAATCAAATGTCAAGTGTTTTTCTACAGAGATGAAGTTTACAGTGTTAGATAATGCATTGTGAGATAACTTAAGAGCATAGTCAAAAATGCAAAGGTCAAATAAAGGTCAAAATGTATAATTGTTGTGAAATAAGGCATGGTCAATCGAGCGACAAAGGAACATATATACTGGACCCCACTACCAAGTACACATATTCCAAACTTCATGACATTTTGAAACCAAATGTTCGAGGAAGGACCATAAGAAGTTTCATAAACCAAAGTGCAAGGTCAAAACTTTAAACTATAACAACAATCGGAACATATTATATTCACCCCACATTCTACCTCCCTGTCTGTGGACCACCAACTATACATACCCTGTATATCCCACCTCCCTGTCAGCTAACCACGTGGTGTACATACCCTGTATATCCCAACTCCCTGTCAGCTAACCACGTGGTGTACATACCCTGTATATCCCACCTCCCTGTCAGCTAACCACGTGGTGTACATACCCTGTATATCCCACCTCCCTGTCAGCAGGCCACCTGGTGTACGTACCCTGTATGTCCCACCTCCCTGTCAGCAGGCCACCTGGTGTACGTACCCTGTATGTCCCACCTCCCTGTCAGCAGACCCCCTGGTGTACGTACCCTGTATGTCCCACCTCCCTGTCAGCAGGCAACCTGGTGTACGTACCCTGTATGTCCCACATCCCTGTCAGCAGACCACCTGGTGTACATACCCTGTATATCCCACATCCCTGTCAGCAGACCCCCTGGTGTACGTACCCTGTATGTCCCACCTCCCTGTCAGCAGGCAACCTGGTGTACGTACCCTGTATGTCCCACATCCCTGTCAGCAGACCACCTGGTGTACGTACCCTGTATGTCCCACCTCCCTGTCAGCAGACCCCCTGGTGTACGTACCCTGTATGTCCCACCTCCCTGTCAGCAGGCAACCTGGTGTACGTACCCTGTATGTCCCACATCCCTGTCAGCAGACCACCTGGTGTACATACCCTGTATATCCCACATCCCTGTCAGCAGACCACCTGGAGTACATCCCCTGTTTGTCCCACATCCCTGTCAGCAGACCACCTGGCGTATATGTATAGGATATAAACCGCCTCCGCGGGCTATCCGTGAAAATAATGCAGTCCGGCAAAGGAAAAGCCCGTGGGCCGTAGGCCCAAGGGCTTTTCCTGCGCTGGAGTGCATTATTTTCAAGGATAGCCATAGGAGAAGGTTTATATCTGACTTATAAACCGACATATATGAAGATGCTTTTTTGTTTACATGACATAACTTTAATTCTGAAATTAAATTGTAGCACTCGAAAGTTCTAATTCAAAAGCGCACAGCTCGAACACAACCGTTTTGCGTGATCGCGCATGTGGAGCGCATGCAGTGCGTGCTAGATGCTATGACTTGAAATCACGTGTGTTCAGCTGCAGTCAGTTTTGACGCAACTTGCACAATGGAGGGGAGCTGAGAAGATGATTTGCGAAACAACTGGTACGTTTTGATATTTTTATATAATCCATCAGATATAAAATTCTAACTTTTGCAGTTCTTGTAAAAACGTGACCACTATAGGCTGTAGTCGCAGTACTTGAGCTTGGGTTAAGATTCCCTTTCTTATTTACCTCAGAGAAACCATCAGGATTTTTTTAAATAAAAAATATTGTTTGAGGGCACCGAAGTGAAGCCGTGCGGTTGTACAAGCATACATCTGATCAACAGAAGTCGGCAGTGTCTGCAATTATCTGTGGTGCCGATCCGAAACGGAGATGCGAGACCATTTCTGACAAGTCGGAAGTCGCCAGTAACTCCAGATGAGCCAACCAGAAGTGGACTTCCTATTGTTTACAATGTCCACATCGCGTAGACTTCTGTAAACATTTCATGAAATAAACGTTGATGAAATAGCTTTATTTTTATTCAAAAGGCCAGAGGGATCCTCTGTAGAAAATCCCGTGGGCAGAGGGATCTTCAGAGAAAAGAACAACCTGTTGTAACAATGGTAATGCATCACTGGATGTTTATATACCCTGTGTATTCCACCTCCCTGTCAGGTGACCACCTGGTATACATACCATGTGTATTCCACCTCCCTGTCAGGTGACCACCTGGTATACATACCCTGTATATCCCACATCCCTGTCAGCAGACCACCTGGTGTACATACCCTGTATATCCCACATCCCTGTCAGGTGACCACCTGGTATACATACCATGTGTATTCCACCTCCCTGTCAGGTGACCACCTGGTATACATACCATGTGTATCCCACATCCCTGTCAGCAGACCACCTGGCGTATATACCATGTGTATTCCACCTCCCTGTCAGGTGACCACCTGGTATACATACCATGTGTATCCCACATCCCTGTCAGCAGACCACCTGGTGTACATACCCTGTATGTCCCACATCCCTGTCAGCAGACCACCTGGCGTATATACCATGTGTATTCCACCTCCCTGTCAGCAGACCACCTGGTATACATACCATGTGTATCCCACATCCCTGTCAGCAGACCACCTGGTGTACATACCCTGTATATCCCACATCCCTGTCAGCAGACCACCTGGTGTACATACCCTGTATGTCCCACATCCCTGTCAGCAGACCACCTGGCGTATATACCATGTGTATTCCACCTCCCTGTCAGCAGACCACCTGGTATACATACCATGTGTATCCCACATCCCTGTCAGCAGACCACCTGGTGTACATACCCTGTATGTCCCACATCCCTGTCAGCAGACCACCTGGCGTATATACCATGTGTATTCCACCTCCCTGTCAGCAGACCACCTGGTGTACATACCCTGTATGTCCCACATCCCTGTCAGCAGACCACCTTGCATATATACCCTGTGTATTCCACCTCCCTGTCAGGTGACCACCTGGTATACATACCATGTGTATCCCACATCCCTGTCAGGTGACCACCTGGTGTACATACCCTGTATATCCCACATCCCTGTCAGCAGACCACCTGGTGTACATACCCTGTATGTCCCACATCCCTGTCAGCAGACCACCTGGCGTATATACCATGTGTATTCCACCTCCCTGTCAGGTGACCACCTGGTATACATACCATGTGTATCCCACATCCCTGTCAGCAGACCACCTGGTGTACATACCCTGTATATCCCACATCCCTGTCAGCAGACCACCTGGTGTACATACCCTGTATGTCCCACATCCCTGTCAGCAGACCACCTTGCATATATACCCTGTGTATTCCACCTCCCTGTCAGGTGACCACCTGGTATACATACCATGTGTATCCCACATCCCTGTCAGCAGACCACCTGGTGTACATACCCTGTATATCCCACATCCCTGTCAGCAGACCACCTGGTGTACATACCCTGTATGTCCCACATCCCTGTCAGCAGACCACCTTGCATATATACCCTGTGTATTCCACCTCCCTGTCAGGTGACCACCTGGTATACATACCATGTGTATCCCACATCCCTGTCAGCAGACCACCTGGTGTACATACCCTGTATATCCCACATCCCTGTCAGCAGACCACCTGGTGTACATACCCTGTATGTCCCACATCCCTGTCAGCAGACCACCTTGCATATATACCCTGTGTATTCCACCTCCCTGTCAGGTGACCACCTGGTATACATACCATGTGTATCCCACATCCCTGTCAGCAGACCACCTGGTGTACATACCCTGTATATCCCACATCCCTGTCAGCAGACCACCTGGTGTACATACCCTGTATGTCCCACATCCCTGTCAGCAGACCACCTTGCATATATACCCTGTGTATTCCACCTCCCTGTCAGGTGACCACCTGGTATACATACCATGTGTATCCCACATCCCTGTCAGCAGACCACCTGGTGTACATACCCTGTATATCCCACATCCCTGTCAGCAGACCACCTGGTGTACATACCCTGTATGTCCCACATCCCTGTCAGCAGACCACCTGGCGTATATACCATGTGTATTCCACCTCCCTGTCAGGTGACCACCTGGTATACATACCATGTGTATCCCACATCCCTGTCAGCAGACCACCTGGTGTACATACCCTGTATATCCCACATCCCTGTCAGCAGACCACCTGGTGTACATACCCTGTATGTCCCACATCCCTGTCAGCAGACCACCTGGCGTATATACCATGTGTATTCCACCTCCCTGTCAGGTGACCACCTGGTATACATACCATGTGTATCCCACATCCCTGTCAGCAGACCACCTGGTGTACATACCCTGTATATCTCACATCCCTGTCAGCAGACCACCTGGTGTACATACCCTGTATGTCCCACATCCCTGTCAGCAGACCACCTGGCGTATATACCATGTGTATTCCACCTCCCTGTCAGGTGACCACCTGGTATACATACCATGTGTATCCCACATCCCTGTCAGCAGACCACCTGGTGTACATACCCTGTATATCCCACATCCCTGTCAGCAGACCACCTGGTGTACATACCCTGTATGTCCCACATCCCTGTCAGCAGACCACCTGGCGTATATACCATGTGTATTCCACCTCCCTGTCAGGTGACCACCTGGTATACATACCATGTGTATCCCACATCCCTGTCAGCAGACCACCTGGTGTACATACCCTGTATATCCCACATCCCTGTCAGCAGACCACCTGGTGTACATACCCTGTATGTCCCACATCCCTGTCAGCAGACCACCTTGCATATATACCCTGTGTATTCCACCTCCCTGTCAGGTGACCACCTGGTATACATACCATGTGTATCCCACATCCCTGTCAGCAGACCACCTGGTGTACATACCCTGTATATCCCACATCCCTGTCAGCAGACCACCTGGTGTACATACCCTGTATGTCCCACATCCCTGTCAGCAGACCACCTGGCGTATATACCATGTGTATTCCACCTCCCTGTCAGGTGACCACCTGGTATACATACCATGTGTATCCCACATCCCTGTCAGCAGACCACCTGGTGTACATACCCTGTATATCCCACATCCCTGTCAGCAGACCACCTGGTGTACATACCCTGTATGTCCCACATCCCTGTCAGCAGACCACCTGGCGTATATACCATGTGTATTCCACCTCCCTGTCAGGTGACCACCTGGTATACATACCATGTGTATCCCACATCCCTGTCAGCAGACCACCTGGTGTACATACCCTGTATATCCCACATCCCTGTCAGCAGACCACCTGGTGTACATACCCTGTATGTCCCACATCCCTGTCAGCAGACCACCTGGCGTATATACCATGTGTATTCCACCTCCCTGTCAGGTGACCACCTGGTATACATACCATGTGTATCCCACATCCCTGTCAGCAGACCACCTGGTGTACATACCCTGTATATCCCACATCCCTGTCAGCAGACCACCTGGTGTACATACCCTGTATGTCCCACATCCCTGTCAGCAGACCACCTGGCGTATATACCATGTGTATTCCACCTCCCTGTCAGGTGACCACCTGGTATACATACCATGTGTATCCCACATCCCTGTCAGCAGACCACCTGGTGTACATACCCTGTATATCCCACATCCCTGTCAGCAGACCACCTGGTGTACATACCCTGTATGTCCCACATCCCTGTCAGCAGACCACCTTGCATATATACCCTGTGTATTCCACCTCCCTGTCAGGTGACCACCTGGTATACATACCATGTGTATCCCACATCCCTGTCAGCAGACCACCTGGTGTACATACCCTGTATATCCCACATCCCAGTCAGCAGACCACCTGGTGTACATACCCTGTATATCCCACATCCCTGTCAGCAGACCACCTGGTGTACATACCCTGTATGTCCCACATCCCTGTCAGCAGACCACCTGGCGTATATACCCTGTGTATTCCACCTCCCTGTCAGGTGACCACCTGGTATACATACCCTGTATGTCCCACATCCCTGTCAGCAGACCACCTGGCGTACATACCCAGTGTATTCCACATCCCTGTCAGCAGACCACCTGGCGTATATACCGTGTATTCCACCTCCCTGTCAGGTGACCACCTGGTAAACATACCATGTGTATCCCACATCCCTGTCAGCAGACCACCTGGTATACATACCCTGTGTATTCCACCTCCCTGTCAGCAGACCACCTGGCGTATATACCCAGTGTATCCCACATCCCTGTCAGCAGACCACCTGGTATACATACCCTGTGTATTCCACATCCCTGTCAGCAGACCACCTGGCGTATATACCCTGTGTATCCCACATCCCTGTCAGCAGACCACCTGGTATACATACCCTGTGTATTCCACCTCCCTGTCAGCAGACCACCTGGCGTATATACCCTGTGTATTCCACCTCCCTGTCAGCAGACCACCTGGTAAACATACCATGTGTATCCCACATCCCTGTCAGCAGACCACCTGGCGTATATACCCTGTGTATCCCACATCCCTGTCAGCAGACCACCTGGTATACATACCCTGTGTATTCCACCTCCCTGTCAGCAGACCACCTGGCGTATATACCCTGTGTATTCCACCTCCCTGTCAGCAGACCACCTGGTAAACATACCATGTGTATTCCACCTCCCTGTCAGGTGACCACCTGGTAAACATACCCTGTGTATTCCACCTCCCTGTCAGGTGACTACCTGGTATACATACCATGTGTATCCCACATCCCGCCTCCTTGTCCATGGGCAACCAGGTCCACTGCCACCATGACAGCATGCTGGAGTGAATTGAGTCCTCGTCTTAGGTCATGTGCGGAGGCTATGACAGTGTTGGTGGATGGATCCACCACTACAGCGCCTACAGCAGCCTTAGATCAAGAAAGACAGTAATCATTTCATTAGTACAGCAAGCATCTTCCAAAGGAAAAGGCATTAACAGACTATAAAAGTCCAGTTTTCGCCCGTGCCAAACTAGGCTGGTATTCCAGGCATGATTGTAGTGCCACCAGTGGCAATTACGAATTATGTCTCATCAATGTCCCTCCTATTGACAAATCAGATTCCATCTCTCATGTCACTTGCATTTGCTTCAAATAAAGATAATAAAGATATATATTGTAATAAAACATGTCTTATGCCGCGAAGTGAATCAAATCACTTGAGCACCTTGATTATAAGCATGAAAAGATTTGCAAAATATGTCAATGCGTGGTTGACGGTACACATGCTATGCAAATCCTGAAGTCGACCGAAATCTGCACGGTGAAACTGGATGTCTAGTTTGTTGCGCGATTTTGAGTGGACTATGCATAGACTTGTTAGTCCAGCAACTCAAGAATTCCACCCTAGTTCCTCAAGGGTGGAAACTGGACCTTGCCTGAGGAAGATATCCATCAATTACACATGCCTTGTTCTCATCATCCTCAAAATCTCCAGGATTAGCATTTTGGTAAACCTAGACTAATCCATTCTCGCGGTTCTACCAAATCGCAAATTACTTGTCCTTGATTTCCATTTGCCAATTTGATTGGCTACAACACTAGGTCTAATAATGCAAGTTACAAACCAGCCTCAATCTTGGGTTGGCAATATCAACAACATGTCGAGTTTGAGAGAAATGCTAGCCCTGGAGATATCGAGGATTTATTTTATTAACAGGCAAATTGACTTGCTGACTTATTTAAAGCATTCAATATCAAACCATGAAAAAATAGTCTATTAAATACCTCTTTTAAATAGGTAGCAGTTCCTAAGTGACCATAAATGCAATAGTTGTAGTGCATGTTTCCTCCTTGCAGGCCTACCTGGCCCTCTCCCTCCCTGCTCCCTGACCCTTCTCCCTCCATGCAGGCCTTCCTGACCCTTCTCCCTGCAGGCCCACCTGAACCTTCTCCCTCCATGCAGGCCTTCCTGACCCTTCTCCCTGCAGGCCCACCTGAACCTTCTCCCTGCAGGCCCACCTGAACCTTCTCCCTCCCTGCAAGCCTACCCGACCCTTCTCCCTGCAAGCCTTCCTGACCCTTCTCCCTGCAGGCCCACCTGAACCTTCTCCCTGCAGGCCCACCTGAACCTTCTCCCTCCCTGCAGGCCTTCCTGACCCTTCTCCCTGCAGGCCCACCTGAACCTTCTCCCTGCAGGCCCACCTGAACCTTCTCCCTCCCTTCAGGCCTACCTGGCCCTGGCCCTCTCCCTCCCTGCAAGCCTACCCGACCCTTCTCCCTGCAGGCCTTCCTGACCCTTCTCCCTGCAGGCCCACCTGAACCTTCTCCCTCCCTGCAGGCCTACCTGGCCCTCTCCCTCCCTGCAAGCCTTCCCGGCCCTTCTCCCTGCAAGCCTACCTTACCCTTCTCCCTGCAGGCCTACCTGACCCTTCTCCCTGCAGGCCTACCTGACCCTTCTCCCTCCATGCAGGCCTTCCTGACCCTTCTCCCTGCAGGCCCACCTGAACCTTCTCCCTGCAGGCCCACCTGAACCTTCTCCCTCCCTGCAAGCCTACCCGACCCTTCTCCCTGCAAGCCTTCCTGACCCTTCTCCCTGCAGGCCCACCTGAACCTTCTCCCTGCAGGCCCACCTGAACCTTCTCCCTCCCTTCAGGCCTTCCTGACCCTTCTCCCTCCCTTCAGGCCTACCTGGCCCTGGCCCTCTCCCTCCCTGCAAGCCTACCCGACCCTTCTCCCTGCAGGCCTTCCTGACCCTTCTCCCTCCCTGTAGGCCTACTGACCCTTCTCCCTTCCTGCAGGCCTACTGACCCTTCTCCCTTCCTGTAGGCCTACCTGACCCTTCTCCCTTCCTGCAGGCCTACTGACCCTTCTCCCTCCGTGTAGGCCTACCTGACCCTTCTCCCTCCCTTCAGGCCTACTGACCCTTCTCCCTCCCTGTAGGCCTACCTGACCCTTCTCCCTTCCTGCAAGCCTACTGACCATTCTCCCTCCCTGCAGGCCTACTGACCCTTCTCCCTTCCTGCAGGCCTACTGACCCTTCTCCCTTCCTGTAGGCCTACCTGACCCTTCTTCCTCCCTTCAGGCCTACCTGACTCTCTCCCTCCCTGTAGGCCTACCTGACCCTTCTCCCTTCCTGCAGGCCTACCTGACCCTTCTCCCTTCCTGCAGGCCTACTGACCCTTCTCCCTTCCTGTAGGCCTACCTGACCCTTCTCCCTTCCTGCAGGCCTACTGACCCTTCTCCCTCCCTTCAGGCCTACTGACCCTTCTCCCTCCCTGTAGGCTTACCTGACCCTTCTCCCTTCCTGCAGGCCTACTGACCCTTCTCCCACCCTGCAGGCCTACTGACCCTTCTCCCTCCCTTCAGGCCTACTGACCCTTCTCCCTCCCTGTAGGCCTACTTGACCCTTCTCCCTTCCTGCAGGCCTACTGACCCTTCTCCCTCCCTGTAGGCCTACCTGACCCTTCTCCCTCCCTTCAGGCCTACCTGACCCTTCTCCCTCCCTTCAGGCCTACCTGACCCTTCTCCCTCCCTGTAGGCCTACTGACCCTTCTCCCTTCCTGCAGGCCTACTGACCCTTCTCCCACCCTGCAGGCCTACTGACCCTTCTCCCTGTCCCCTCCTTGCAGGCCTACCTGACCCTTCTCCCTCCCTTCAGGCCTACTGACCCTTCTCCCTCCCTGTAGGCCTACTGACCCTTCTCCCACCCTGCAGGCCTACTGACCCTTCTCCCTCCCTTCAGGCCTACTGACCCTTCTCCCACCCTGCAGGCCTACTGACCCTTCTCCCTGTCCCCTCCTTGCAGGCCTACCTGACCCTTCTCCCACCCTGCAGCCCTGACCCTACTCCTTGACAATCCCTGCAGGCCTACAGGCCTGACCCTTCTCCCTTTCCCCTCCCTGCAGGCCTACCTGACCCTTCTCCCTGTCCCCTCCCTGCAGGCCTACCTGACCCCTGCAGGCCTACCTGACCCTTCTCCCTGTCCCCTCCCTGCAGGCCTACCTGACCCTTCTCCCTGTCCCCTCCCTGCAGGCCTACCTGACCCTTCTCCCTGTCCCCTCCTTGCAGCACTGACCCTTCTCCCTGTCCCCTCCCTGCAGGCCTACCTGACCCTTCTCCCTGTCCCCTCCTTGCAGCACTGACCCTTCTCCCTGTCCCCTCCTTGCAGGCCTACTTACCCTTCTCCCACCCTGCAGCCCTGACCCTACTCCTTGACAATCCCTGCAGGCCTACAGGCCTGACCCTTCTCCCTTTCCCCCTCCCTGCAGGCCTACCTGACCCTTCTCCCTGTCCCCTCCCTGCAGGCCTACCTGACCCTTCTCCCTGTCCCCTCCTTGCAGCACTGACCCTTCTCCCTGTCCCCTCCCTGCAGGCCTACCTGACCCTTCTCCCTGTCCCCTCCCTGCAGGCCTACCTGACCCTTCTCCCTGTCCCCTCCCTGCAGGCCTACCTGACCCTTCTCCCTGTCCCCTCCTTGCAGCACTGACCCTTCTCCCTGTCCCCTCCCTGCAGGCCTACCTGACCCTTCTCCCTGTCCCCTCCTTGCAGCACTGACCCTTCTCCCTGTCCCCTCCCTGCAGGCTTACCTGACCCTTCTCCCTGGCCACTTTAGCCAGATGCAGGGCTGTCTTCATGTGTGTGTGGATGGTCCTCACTTCCCTGCTGGAGAAGAACTGGCCTGACAGCAGTGATGTCACCCTGGTACACACAGCCAGCATGTGGGTATTATGAACAATGGGCAAGAGATTAATATTGCCTTACAATTAATACATGTAAATAGCATATGTACTACAGTTGTACTTGCAACAAGTGATACAGAATTGTTATCAGCATGGCCTTACCTACCGATACCACTGTAAAGCATGCTCATTAGAGTCAGTTATGGCCCCTGTGTTAATAATAAACTGATACTACAGAGGCTGGTGTGACCCCAGCATGATACTCCTCCACTAAGTACCTCTTATCTTCATGGAAAGAGACAGGCCAGTATTTGCTGGCATCTTGGTACTGATTTCGGGTGAGCGGTGGGTTCTGTGGCACCTTAACGAGGACTGGCTTGCCCAGTGCTGGGAACTTAGAGATGATTGAGGCCAGGATATCCACACTGGAGTCTTCTGTGGCGGACTTGGAACAGATTATCACCTGTAGCTGGGCAGCATCTGGGCAGATCATTAACAGACGTCAACTTACATATGCTGAACAAAGAGCAAACTTTCATGGATTTAATAACCAAGATAACTGCAGGAAATCAAATTTTATGTCAATGTACAGAATTACAGAAAACCAAATTATATCCACGTCTACACTTCACGGTCTTGTATATATTGCTCCATCACCCAAGAATACATTGGGTGGTCTAGTTGTTACTTTCAAACAAGGAATCCAGCAAAGGTCTTGTTGTAGAGAGAGGGAAGCCAGCAAGCCACTGCTGCACCATATCCGACGTACACTACTGCCTAAAAGTTCATTCCCCTAACACGCGTTGAGAACGCGTGTAACACGCATGTGAAACGGGTGCTCAAGGGGTTGCACACGGGTGTGCAACGGGTGTGCAGCGCGTGTGCAACCCGTTGCACACGCGTGTGCCACGCGTGTAACACGGGACCGGGTTCCAGTTGAAGTTGACAAAATTATCAAATGAATAGTGAGATAAAACAAAACAGTGAGATGTGAAATTTGAGTTAATGAGCGGCCATTGAGCTGTGTTCACCAGACCGTAAATACAAGGTCGGCCCGTCTTAATTAGTGTTCGGTTGTTAGACTTTTATGGCATGAACCATTCCACTAGGGTCAAGTCTAGCCATTGTGGCTAGCCGACAGTAGAACATTAGTGAATTTAGATGCGAGTTTATTGCTTGGGGAACCCCCGTGTTGACACGATTGTCGCGGGTTGGTAAATGTTCGCCATTAATAAAATGATTGTTTGTGGATTTGCGAACATATTCATTTGCCCACACGAGTCATTCCATTTGATTGCAAATATAACGTTTTTCGTTCGCCAAATTTATGCTTTAGACAGTACAATTATGATATAGCCGTCACCACTACTAATGTCTCATTATTTCACGTAGGAATATGTCCCATTTCCCCACACCCCACTTTCTGTTTTGTATTTTGAAAGAATAAATAAAAGAAGGTTTTGTGTGGGACACTTTTATACTAATTATAAGAGGATGTTGTAAATGAATATGAACAGCCATGCTGTCTGACTGTTGATAGAATTTGAGATCTTCACAATCACCGGGTGTGACCATGTAGACAGAATCTCGTTAGGGTTTGTGATTTTTACATTTGCCCAATGACCATAGTGAGTATTGCTGGGGATACCAAACGTAACAGTTTATTATTAGAGGTTGTGAGTACCTATACCACGTAGATAGGATATATTTAGGATTTTAATCCTTCTTTGAGAGGCATTTAGAAGTTGGAGTACTACGTTAGGATAAGATTTATAGGTGACTTTAATCCTTTCTTTCTCTGTGGGTAATCCTTTCACGTTGATTGGAGGAAGTCACTCAACCAGGTCATGACAGGTCGTGAGTTTACTCACTAACTACTGTGAGCGTTTTTGGCATAACATCTTTTCTTGTATAAACATAGAAACGATGCTCACTCACTGTTAATCTTCTGCAGTTTGCTGGCAAAGTGGGGATAAACCTCAGTGTCAAAGACGATCAAACTTAGTTCAAATCCTTGTTTATATGTGACATCTCCCAAATGGGGACATGTTCATAAACTTGGCAAGTGATGATGAATTTTAATATTAATATTATTATAGTTTATGAAATTGTTAATAAAACTTTAATAAAATTGTGCTTCACTCTCACGAAAACTATATTGTCTGTGAGTAAATTTATATGTCATGTTTCATCGGCATTTTTCAGTGATATTGGGACTACATGAAACATGGCTGGTTTTACATTTCTGATACAGGTGCTTGACTGACTGAGTAGTTCATGATCAATTAGATATGTTTAAATCAGTCAAGTTTGCAACAATAGATGAATAAGTTGATACATTTGGACCGCAGTTACCGATTAACAACTTAAGACATAGAGACAGGGAGGAGATATATAACCAAACCTATGGTCCTGTTGAGACAGTTGATAGTTAGAACGTTGGATTAAATGACAGTAACTAATTTGAACATTCCCCAGTAATATCATAAAATACATCATAACTCATAACAGTCCGAGAAACAGCTTCCAGCCATATACTAGTGTTGAAGGGACAATCGCTTTTGACAGTTTAAAAATAAACTCACCTTAAGGTGCTTGGCAAGTCAAAACTGACCTCCCTGAATATGTTTTTTAGGTTTGACAGCAACTATGCTTGTGGATTTCAGAGATAGACATGATTTGTTAGCTAGATGTTATTACAATAAGCGGAAATGTCTTAAAAGTCCACAGTTTGTTTAATAGTACAAAAAGTGTGTTATAGATCTATCAACGTTTTCTTTTATTGAACATAATATTTGCACTATATTGCTGTTAGCTGTAAATAATCTAGCCTCCCCATGTACGTAACTTACATATATTTATGTATGACCAGAACAGCAAATAAAGTTCTGGTAGATAGGTACCTCGGAGATTTAACGTGCGCTTTCCGACTTAAGCCTATCTCGCACACGGGGAAGCACTTATACTATTAGGGTAAAAAAGCGTAATGATTAAATAAAGAAGTGCACCCCCCCCCCCCCCTCCCCCCCACCCCAAAGAAAAAGTTTACAGCCTATTCTAATAAAGTTAAAGGGGTTGGGGTTTGGCTGGGTGGGAGTGGGTGATAAAAGAATATTCAATAATATGGAAAAGTTTGGGTGGGGGGGGGCAAGCGTTGGGAGGCACGGCGTCGGCTGGCGAGAATGTGTGGCTAGAAGTCTAGCGGCGGTATCCTTCTAGTAGTCTCTTGGTCAGCTTCTCATCCTGGGGGTTGGGATTCTGGTAGAGACTCTTGGCAAGGAGGGCGGCGGTATTGGCGACGAAGTGGTTTGAGGTCGGTACGCCACTACTCTGGAAGAAGTGGTACAAGTCTGTGTAATTTGTGATGTCGTACTCGATGTCCTGTCCCCCCTTCTTGTGCACCATGACGAAAGGGACTCCTTGTTTGGCGTAGAGATGTTCCTTTGGGGTGTTGATCTGGTCAACCATGAGATCCGGCCGGGCCTGGTAGTGGTTGATCGGAATGTCTGACTTTTCCACTAGTAATTAAAGTTCTTTGGTATGACCTCTTTTATCCCTGCTGACGTTATCCTAATGTTCAATTTCAGTCTGCCTCACCAAGCGTAAGAAAGCATTGTACATGTTCTGATAAACCATACTGATGCAATTAAGCAAATGAATATTTGCTGTGGGCAAATATCTATTTTCTATATATATATATTTGTGGATATGAAGCATTCAAGTTAATTGTGGATACACTGGGCAGACAGAATTGTATTTATTTCCAGGCCATCCTGATCGTCGTTTACTAATATAAGGTGTATGTTTTGAGGCAAGATCAAAGGCGCCGCACAGCATTTATTAGATAACAGACGGGGTCGTCCGTTTCGCTTTAAACAACCACCCCACCCTGTCTGTAGGAGTTATATAATCGGTGCGCAAATAACTGTGTCAAGTCCACTGCCGGGCTGATGCGGTGTCAGTGTCAGCGATGAACATGAATGCTCAAATTATAGACCTGTAGCACTCACAAGTTGCTCAGCCAAAATATTTGAAAAGTGTATATTCAATTCTCTGATAACAGCAAATATAACCTTAGAAATAGATTCAAAATACAAACAATCAAATGTAGAACACAGACCTAGACTTAATAATAATTTCTTCTGGATATGATCAACCTGCGGAACCCTCTATCCGATGAAGTAACTAATGCTCGCTCATTAAAAGAAATCAAATCATTAATTAATCGTTCTGATGCAATTACTAATAATTTTGACTTCAAATATTTTCATAGATCATGCCAAATTGTCCACTGTCGCCTTAGGCTCGGCTGCAGTGACTTAAACGCTGATAAGTTTAGACGACATGTATCAGACATACCAGACTGCACTTGTGGATATCACCTTGAAAATGCAATTCACTTTTTCTATAACTGTCAAAAAATACGATAATATCAGAAACTCTGTGTATTTCTACACACATGGGTATGGTCTAAAAATGATATTACGTGGCAGTAGTTAAGCAGTTCTACAAACATGACTCATCTTAAATCAGTTCACGACATCATTGTCAAAAGCAAAAGGTTTGAGTAGCTTAATTTTATGCATGTAGTAAAGGAAAAATGCATTACCTTATTTCACAGACACCACTTGCTTCAGTGTATTGGCTTCGTGTATTTCATTTGTGCATTTTATGTTCATCACTCTCTTATATATATCCAGCTGTTGTTAAGTTGTTACCTGGAGTGGTATTACATAAGCAAGTTTTGCTTGTTTACCGATCCAGATTTCTTTTGAAATAAAAATACGTTTAAGCCAACACAGCTAACCCTAAAACACATAATTGTAAACTATTCAAAAAGGGGCACTAATCTCTGGCTTCTTCTCGGGTGTCGGACTCAAACTCAAACTCATTTATTCTTAGAATAACATGACATACAATTATCTACAATTTTTATTATGTACAATTTAACAAAAATAATAAAAATAGGATACGTGGATACTAATACAATTTACCAATTGTATTGTACACATTGTTAAGAAATTTAGATAGGCCTTTTAGATTTCTTACACTGTTAGTGGTCATAATTTTCTTAAATGTTTGGAAACTTAAGATATTGCTTATTTAAGAGTTCATATCGCCGTTGGTGAAAAGCTTCACATTGGAATAAATAATGCAATTCATCTCCCATAGCGATAGATTCACAGAGTGGACACTGGCTGTCTTCCCTGGGAATGTTCAGCCATCGACCTGTTTCAACTGGTAATCCTTGGTTAGAAAGTTCTGACTTTAATTTTGAGAGCAGTAGATATTTCGCAAATGAAGGTTGATTCTTCAGGTAATACGACCTTTGGATTTCCGCTTGGGCTTTCTAGCTGCAGTGAGTCAATTTGCTCGTTAACGCAACCGAGCGTGACAAGAGACTGGGCTACCAGTCTGCAAGGACAACTAAATAAGCTTACGCATTTTTGAAAACTGATTGGTTACCCGTGATCTATGAAAATTTCAACAAAGGGCGCATGGTAATTAATTTCTTCAGCCTAAACAAACAGACAAATAACGGCGAAAGCTCATCGGATGTCGTTATTTGGAAATACCCCTGATGGTTACAGTTTAATAATAAAAAAGTATCCCTGAGTGAAAGCATTTGTGGATTTCGGATTGCGTGGATGATACAATTACTACTCCCTTGTTGTCATCCACATTTTCTGGTATAACCCTACACTTGTGTATTTGTCGTAATTCACTTGCTGCTCAGTTAATGAATTTATAACATGTATACTTAGTTGTAGCACCACTCAGATTAAAAAGGTTCAAATTTGGTCTTTCTTGTACCTGGGGTAATTATTCAATCTAAATCCAGGTTTGAAGTGAGGTGGAATGTGAGTTATGTGATACGCACGTGGCAGCCCAGCAAGAGATGTATGGTCAGTTGCTTTACTTTTTTTGTAAATCAACTGAGCATTCCCAGACATCAAAGGATCAACAGGAAATACGTTGATTGATTAATTACTGTTATCTTGCACAGTGGATATGTCAAAAGTAAGTGTTTACATGTGAAGGTAGGTTTACTAAACCTAGGCAATACACTCATATCATGGCGTGAAGTACAGATGTAAAAACAACATACTTTGTTCAAAGGGTAACCGATAATACACTGACTGGTTGTTCATTGTTATCTAACTCAATGTATGTTTTTAAGAACCGAGGACATTATAAAAATAGTTGTCACGTGGGCTTTCTCACCTAACTGGGCAGCTATGTGAAACAATTGAAACAAACTAAGTGATCAGTTAAGAAACAAACACGGGTTATAATATTCAATACATTTAAATAATGTTTAAAACGATATATTTAAATATTTTAAATATTTTAATATATTTCATATATATTCCAAATATTGTTTCCAAATAATTATTATTAAAGTATTTGATTCTCACATAGACATTTGACATCGAATAAGTAATTTTGTACAGCTGCAGACGCAATGGATATTGTTCCTTTATGTTGATATTCCCGGATACATTATAACTTTGGTAGGTTGTAATAATTATATTTGCATTTTGTTTTCATTCATTCGCTGCAGCTTTGAACAGAATCATTCTTGTTCTTTTCCGTTTGTTTGGGAAGTTTTTCGATGCGCGATAGACGTTGTTTTCACAAGTATTTTCTTTTGTAAGCGTGTATATGTTACAGTCAATGTGTAAAATATGATTCACTCAGGCAATTTATTAAATATCTAAATTTTTCAGTCATTTTACAAATTGACTGAATAATCCATTCATTTATTTAACCGACAGACTAAAAATGATAAAGACGATCAAAAGAGCTTTAACACATCACAATATATTAATAATGCTAAGAAAAGAAGCCCAACAATACAGAACTGTACTTGGTGATGATATTAAACATAAACAAATATTTGGAATTCGTTATTATATTAATAAAGATGGACATATTTTTCAGTTAATTTGTAAAATAAACTGAATATTTAGGCGTTTAATAAATTTCCTTAGTGAAATATGTTTACATTTTGAATGTAAACATATACACACGGTAAAATAAGCAATGTTCAGATGAAATATTTACTTTGTGTTGCAAGTCAAAATAGTGTACACAAAGATCGCACAATTACCAAGCAAGTGACTTACCAAAACTGCATCACCATTACCGATGCTCCCCACAAATATACCTACATTTCCAAAACTGTATTTCATTTTTGTTGATCAATGTGACCATACGTCCTTCTACTTTCAATAAAAATGCGCTTACGAATGGCGAGCACAGGTCGCGAACAAGTCTAGATTTCTGCTATATCATCCGGGTACTCACTGGGAAAATACAGTAATGCACAGGTAACAACTACTCCCGCGGAATTGCTTTAGATCAGTGCTCCTTTGTACTATATATTGTGAATGCCAAAATGATGTATCAAGGATCAAGTAGAAGATACATTGACCGTAGCGCTGGGAGTTTATTCAACAGACCCGTGAAAATAACACAGCTGTTTCTTACTATTTATTTTAGATGACGCAGTCAAAGCTCACTTCTCCTGGCGGCCATTATCGAACGGCCAGCTAAAACACAACCCCGCGCTTACGTCTACAGGTCTCTTCCTGTAGTACGGTAATTAGTATTCTCTCCCTCAAGTGTATCCTCAATGATATAACCCACCCTCATTAATTACATGCTGCTCTTTCCCAGCCTCACGGCTATGGAGCTGAGATAAAGAGTCCAAGTCATCATAAAGTAATTAGGGTCCAATAAAAACAATGCGCCGCCAAACCTCATACATATTATCACTGAAAGTCGTACTACAGACGGTTAATGTCAAATCACAATAAAAGCATTTCAATTGCAATAACATGTTCCAGGACCATGTATTCTCTTGACACCATCGGATTTAGAAGCAATGGTCGTATAAAACAAGACAGATCTATTTAAACACAACAGTATTCATGTTATTCCCACAAAATCACATAAAGAAAGGAGACATTAGCAAATACATGTGTATTATCATTTTTCGTCAGGATAACAAAATTTTCTCTCCTTGTTACCACCTCCAGGTTCAGCTTAAGACGGGTCCTCCTTTGGTCAAAAGTTTGTTCCCCCTCTAATGAGTGTGTCACGCGTTGCACACGAGTGGCGGACGGGGTGCACACCCGTGTGCAACGCGTTGCACACGGGTATCACACGCGTGACCAACCCGATGCCCACTGGTTGCGTAACGCGTTGCCCATGCGTGTAAGGGGAATGAACTTCTAGGCAGTAGTGTAGGTACTCACAGGTGATGGAGGAACAATGCAAACCAAACACGTATTGACTATGAACCTGTGTATGTTTTCGTAACACAAATAAAAGCATGAAACATATCTTTATATCCACATTCTGATAGTTAATTGAACAACTTAAAACAGTGAAACGATTATTTTTGCACTAATTTTGTTTTGTGAACTAGAGAACATTCATATGTGAGTTGGAACACCTTGTTCTCAATGGTTAATATATCAGGGATATTTGCCTGTTTGTGATGACAAAAAATGCCTGTGCCTTTAATAAATTTTCCATTTCACAGAGAGTCTATGAATTATGAAGTATGTTAAGAAATAACTTCATGCTCACTGTGGTGTTCTTGTTACCCATATGGAAAGTTCTAACCTTTCTTTCAAACATGACCAACTGACTACCTTTTGCCTTGTGACTGCGGACTCTCTTGAGATGCATCAAATTCGTCAGGGGTAGATCGCAGCTCAGTTTCCTGTTGTACATAAGTGTAATTACCTCCTTGCATTATCACTGCAGCATTCTCAAAAACAAGGATCAATAAAAAACGAACTATTCATGATCTCAGAGGTGGTCAGGTGAAATGGAATTTTCACCCCACCACCTCTGAGATCATAGTGATGTGCATGCATGTGTGGCTGCTTGACCTCATCTGGACTAAAGCTGGTTTTATAGTGCTAGGCTACTAAGATACCATGTTGCAGTTTAACATCTATACCTCACTGAGACACAATATACTGCCCCCGAGCCAGTCCTTGTTTTAGCCCCTTAATGCCAAGTATGAGGCAGGCTAATAACAAGTACCGTATTTTAATATTGTTTGGTATGATGGGGCTAGGGATCGAACCACCGACCTTCCACACTCTGGGCAGACTCTATCCACTAGACCATAGAGGCAGTCAGGATCTCAGACAATGGATGTCTACTGTTCAACAACCTTCACACACATCAGACACCACCACATTACACACATCTGACACCAACACATATCACACCAACACATCCCACACCGCATCACACACATCAGATACCAACACATCACACACATCAGACACCAACACATCACACACCGCATCACACACATCAGACACCACCACATTACACACATCAGACACCACCACATCAGACACCACCACATCACACACATCAGACACCACCCCATTACACACATCAGACACCACCGCATCACACACCGCATCACACACATCAGACACCACCACATCAGACACCACCGCATCACACACATCAGACACCACCGCATCACACACATCAGACACCAACACATCACACACATCAGACACCACCCCATCACGCACATCAGATACCAACACATCACACACATCAGACAACTACACATCACACACCGCATCACACACATCAGACACCACCACATTACACACATCAGACACCACCACATTACACACATCAGACACCACCACATCAGACCACCACATCACACCACATCACACACATGACCAACCACAGAACACACCACATCACACACATCAGACACCACCCCATCACACACATCAGACACCAACACATCACACACCGCATCACACACATCAGATACCAACACATCACACACCGCATCACACACATCAGACACCACCACATCAGACACCACCACATTACACACATCACACACCAACACATCACACACATCAGACACCAACACATCACACACATCAGACACCAACACATCACACACCAACACATCACACACATCAGACACCAACACATCACACACCGCATCACACACATCAGACACCACCACATCAGACACCACCACATCACACACATCAGACACCACCACATCAGACACCACCACATCACACACATCAGACACCACCACATCACACACATCACACCACCACATCACACCACCACATCACACACATGACCCACCACAGAACACACCACATCACACACATCAGATACCAACACATCACACACATCAGACACCATCACATCAGACACCACCACATCACACACATGACCCACCACAGAACACCACATCACACACATCAGATACCAACACATCAAACACATCAGACACCAACACATCACACACCACCACATCACACCACCACATCACACACATGACCCACCACAGAACACACCACCACATTACACCAGATCACCACATCACACCAACACATCACACACCACCACAGAACACACATGACCCACCACAGAACACACATGACCCACCACAGAACACACCACCACATTACACCAGATCACCACATCACACCAACACATCACACACCACCACATCACACACATGACCCACCACAGAACACACATGACCCACCACAGAACACACCACCACATTACACCAGATCACCACATCACACCAACACATCACACACCACCACATCACACCACCACATCACACACATGACCCACCACAGAACTCACCACCGCATTACACCAGATCACCACATCACACCACCACAGAACACACCACCACATCAGACACATCACATCCCACCACATCACACACATCACAAACACAAATATGACAGTAATCAAAATTGCATCAACATAATCTCATAATGCCATGATAAATTGCTATATCTTACTTGACAATATGGGCTGTCAATTTCTTATCTTGAATCACACAGACATAAGCATCAACTGAAACAAAGAGCCAGTACAACAGTAGACAGCCAGTACAATAGTAGACAGCCACATCACAGTAGGAAGGCAGAACAATAGTAGACACCTAGTACAACAGTAGATACCCAGTATAACAGTAGGCAGCCAGTTCAACAGTAGGTAGCCAGTACAACAGTTAGCAGCCAGTACAACAGTAGGTAGCCAGTACAAAAGTAGGCAGCCAGTTCAACAGTAGGTAGCCAGTACAACAGTAGGCAGCCAGTACAACAGTAGGTAGCCAGTACAACAGTAGACACCCAGTAAAACAGTAGGTAGCCAGTACAACAGTAGACACCCAGTACAACAGTAGACACCCAGTAAAACAGTAGGTAGCCAGTACAACAGTAGACTACCAGTACAACAGTAGGTAGCCAGTACAACAGTAGGTAGCCAGTACAACAGTAGACACCCAGTACAACAGTAGGTAGCCAGTACAACAGTAGGTAGCCAGTACAACAGTAGACACCCAGTACAACAGTAGACACCCAGTAAAACAGTAGGTAGCCAGTACAACAGTAGACTACCAGTACAACAGTAGGTAGCCAGTACAACAGTAGGTAGCCAGTACAACAGTAGACACCCAGTACAACAGTAGGTAGCCAGTACAACAGTAGACTACCAGTACAACAGTAGACACCCAGTAAAACAGTAGGTAGCCAGTACAACAGTAGACTACCAGAACAACAGTAGGTAGCCAGTACAACAGTAGGTAGCCAGTACAACAGTAGGCAGCCAGTACAACAGTAGGTAGCCAGTACAACAGTAGGTAGCCAGTACAACAGTAGGTAGCCAGTACAACAGTTGGCAGCCATTACAACAGTAGGCAGCCATTACAACAGTAGGCAGCCAGTACAACAGTAGGTAGCCAGTACAACAGTAGGTAGCCAGTACAACAGTAGGTAGCCAGTACAACAGTTGGCAGCCAGTACAACAGTAGACACCCAGTATAACAGTAGGTAGCCAGTACAACAGTAGGTAGCCAGTACAACAGTAGACACCCAGTACAACAGTAGGTAGCCAGTACAACAGTAGACACCCAGTACAACAGTAGGTAGCCAGTACAACAGTAGGTAGCCAGTACAACAGTAGACACCCAGTACAACAGTAGGTAGCCAGTACAACAGTAGGTAGCCAGTACAACAGTAGGTAGCCAGTACAACAGTAGGTAGCCAGTACAACAGTTGGCAGCCAGTACAACAGTTGGCAGCCAGTACAACAGTAGGCAGCCAGTACAACAGTAGGTAGCCAGTACAACAGTTGGCAGCCAGTACAACAGTTAGCAGCCAGTTCAACAGTAGGCAGCCAGTACAACAGTTGACAGCCTTGACTTGTGGGGTCTGTGTACACAGCAGAGAGTGGTGTGACAGTGTAGGGTGCTGGTTGAGACTCACCTAGACTTGTGGGGTCTGTATACACAGCAGAGAGTGGTGTGACAGAGTGGGTGCTGGTTGAGACTGACCTAGACTTGTGGGGTCTGTATACACAGCAGAGAGTGGTGTGACAGAGTGGGTGCTGGTTGAGACTCACCTAGACTTGTGGGGTCTGTGTACCTATCCTCCAAGACAGCTTCTGGCTGCTCCAATGAATCAGAATCAGGCTCTGGAAACATGTACAGTGGGCTTCATTAGATTTTCTCCTGTAGTATTTGAATCTGGGAACCACCTCAACAGTCAACATGGTTCATCTTTAAGCTTTAAAATTAAAGTTTGGACAACAACCCCTTGACTTACTTTATTTCAAAAACACTGTCTTATACTTTATATTAGTCATATATGACCCAACATATTTTTATCAAAAGTACCCCAGGACGCAGGAACTGTAATCAAATTGTTTTCATTGTTTCAATCTGCAGAATGTAATTTTCAGTTACAATTATCTTTTAGAGCAGAAGTAAATAACATTCATGGCTGCCAACTTGCTTATGATTCTAACAACGCACACACATGAAGTTGCTCATGATTATTTGCATATTCCTATATGTGAAGGGCTCAGCATATGGTTCTCAGAAGGCATGGGCCTCAAAGTATATTTTTCCCCAAAGAGCCATTGGGCCCTGACAACTGTTTTCAGTGAGACAATGTCAAATTCAAGAAGCCATGTAAATACTTAAGGAACCAAACTTCAAGATAATAGTCAGTAATGCATAATACTGTCAAAGCATATCTAATCTGCCTAACTGCAGCAATAGAGATTCCTGCCTGTGGTGTGACAAGCTTCGTTGTTAATTATGTTGTTGTAAATACTTGACTAGATTATTGATTTATTATTTATTATTTTTTACCTCACAATTCCCTTGATGATTTTTAGATTTTTAGATTTTTATAAAGTCTTTTATTATGCAGTTAGTGACATCAGGTCACCAGCTTGATTTTTCCAATATTAAATAATATTGGTCGCCACATGAAAATATCAATCGCTGTGGCAACCAAATGAGTTGCAATTTTGAGGTTTGAATTTACTTCATATACTTACCTAACAATTCCGATGATGATTTTTAGATTTTTTTAAATGATATTTTATTTCAGTCAATCAGTAGTTATTAATGTATGGTATTTCTGTCTCTAATATTATGCAGTTAGTGATATCAGGTTGCTGACTTGATTTTTCCAAGTAGCAAAGTGGCGATTGCTTAAATTATATTGGTTGCCTAGTGAAAATTTCAATCGCTATTGCAACCAAATTAGTTGCAATTTTGAGGCCTGTAGGAAGTGATAATATGGAGTCGATGGCTTGTAGTATATAGTATATGCAAGTTTACTTTGTACTGGTCCATATATATACAAGAAGCAGTATGTGCCAGGTCAGCACACAGTGATAGCACCAATCCTAACCCTAGCTAAACCTTCTCTTCTCATTTTCATTTCTGGACCAAGGTCATTTGACACAGATTAAGTCATCAATATTAGCAACAGTATGGCTGACAGCCAATGTACAATACAGTGGGAATTAAAATGGGGATAAGCATCTTAAAGAAATGGCAAGTGAGTGAGTGAGTGAGTACATTTTTATGCTGATCTTAGCAATATTCCAGCAATATCATCGCTGGGTACACCAGAAATGGACTTCACACATTGTACCCATGTGGGGAATTGAACCAGGGTCTTCAGCATGAGGAGCAAACGCTTTAACCATTAGACTACCCATGCAACTGCCCCAGTGATTCACGTGATTCAAGACATATATATACTCGGACCCCGTGGTACCGCGGCATTCATCGTATCGCAGCATTTATGATTTCCGATAGTTCACGCGGGACACGCCTCTTAGTGGCTATCTATTAATGCAAATCAATAACCAGGAAGTGCTCACTTCGTAAACAATTTCAATTTCCTCGGAATGTTCCGTCTGCTGTAAGTAAGGAGTTATTAATCCGTTGATACATATTTCTGGCATCTGTAATATTGCCTTACCCCCATCTATCAATGGCCAACGATATAACCCGCAGTTCCCCAAGTAAACTTTCTCTATCGACCTGAACTAGATCATCTGCATATTAATGGCGACTAATGAGGTAACGGAAGTTACGTAGTCCGTACATTTTTCCCCGCTCTGTGCCCAGAATCTATTGGGAGATAATAAGGGCCATAATGCCAAACTTAGAAATACGTTATTCACTAGTAACCAAAAGATAAATACATACTTTGGGCATACTAGGAGTGCTTTTTATATATTTATTGTTGAGTTTTAACATTTTTCCATTTTGTGACAAATTATTGTCATCCAATTTTTTTTAAACAATCTTAAAATATCATTTCTGATATTTTGTTGTTGACTTATAAAAATATTTTTCTCTTACTTTTCGGTAAAAATGCATTGAATACCTATTGCTGATAACACATTTAGAATTTTACTTGTGCTGTCTTTGCACATGTCTGGACAAATCACTGATGTCTGGCATGATCATACCAAGCGGTTGGTAGAATTATGTCCTCTTTTTGTCCAATTCGGACCTCCATACACAACTTTTCTCTGTACCGCGATACGATGGAGTTCTCTCCCTTGTCAAACTGAGCGCGAGGCCCGGCTTTTACTCGGAGCTACTAATGTAAACAATGAACTTTTATCAGTAAAATATGCATTGTTAGATAAAATAAATGACATCTGATATAGAGAACACGAATAATCATAAAGGTTAGTGAGTGCATTTTGTTCCGTTAGCGTACATGACAAGTCCCGCGATACCCCGAGGTTGCAGGCTACATGTCATGGTTACGTAGTAGGCTAATTAGCCTTTGGAATAAAATGTCCCAAATTGGTCGCTATGACAACTCTTAAAAATATATCCATTATTTTCATAGGTGAAACCCTGAAGGTTTGACTTGAATAAACGCCTGTTCTATTTTTACGGTTCTGAAAACATGTATAGCAACACTTCGTACACATTTGGCAATGTCGAATATGGACTGAAACAATTGTGGAGACAGGTCGGGATTAGTAATGTCAACATATATGTGCATCTACATCTTATTTTTTGAAATTACACATACCAGCTTTTGGTCTTTTGGTTTCATGGGTGTCTGTCTCCATTTAGTAAAAGCCAAAGTAAGAAAGTAATCGTTGACTCAAACCTTTACACAGTCGTGCGTTTTACAATAATATTGAGAGTGACCTCCCCTTAGTTTCTATGCGCCAAGCTCTAGAGAGCACCGCGAACGGCCTATCGCTGTGAGGAGCTTCTCAATGCGCCAAGCTCCTTTCCAGCGCGTGACACCTTCTTCACAATCTCACAGCGATAACCCGTTCACTGAGCTCTCTATGATGTTCGTTCCAGTCTAAGCAAGCACAGAGACGCCAAGCGGAACCAGTCTACTCTTGCCCTGACTTCAGCACGAACGGAACCAGTCTAGTTGGGTAACGAAGGTGTCACGCACTGGGAAGGAGCTTTTCCGCGGCACACTTCTTGTTGTATTTGCGAGAATGGTTAAGTTAAATCCCAAGAACATTATTTTAGCTTTAGAAGAGCGCGTGTTTCATGGGTATTGAATGTTGTTTGTTTGTTTATTTGTTGTTTAACGCTGCACTCAGCAATATTCCAGCTATATGACGGCGGTCTGTAAATAATCAAATCTGGACCAGACAATCCAGTGATTAACATCATGAGCATCGATAGACGCAATTAGGATACGATGGCGTGCATCAACCAAGTCAGCGAGCCTGACCATCCGATCCTGTTAGTCGCCTCCTACGACAAGCACAGTCACTTTTTACAGCAAGCATGGGCTGCTGAAGACCTAATCTACCCCGGATCTTCACGGGTCGTATTGAATGTTGAGATGTAAACGTGAGACTGCAACTGCAAATTGATGAATGTTCCTGTTTTCGTTTGATCAGAGATCATGCATTTATATAGCTGCACAAATGGTACCCATGCCAAAACAGCGAAAACGGCCGCACATCTAAAATGTATGACGTTTTGTTTAGTAATCAAATCATCTAACAGTTTTGCTCATGTAGGACGTGTTATATGTTCCAGAATGTCTGCCCTTCTCCCAGATCTCGACGTTTTAATAAAGTGTGCCTTGTAATTTACGGTCTAAAAAACTCAAATGTTTATTTTTAATATCAAGCTATGAAACCCATGAATGATCCAATTCAATCTTCGTCATCTTATCACCAACGCATTCAGAAACCCAAAATGCTTTCACTGCGGGGGTATGTTTTTAAAAATACAAATATAACCATCAAGGGTATTTCCAAATAACGACATCCAATGAGATTCCACCTTTCCTTTTGTCTGTTTGTTTGGGTTGAAAAAAACCCACGAATTAACATGCGCCCTTTGTAATATCGAAATCTTCATAGATCGCGGGTAATCCTTCAGTGTTCTGAAATGGGTATAGATATTGTCTCAAAATATATTTCCGCTATCCCTACAGACGGTAGCCCAGTCTCTTATCGCGCTTATAGTAGCCAGCAAATCGACTCGCGGCATGAGAGTGAGTGAGTTTGTTTTTACGCCGCTTTTAGCAATATTCCAGCATATCACGGCGGGGGACACCAGAAATGAGCTTCACACATTGTACCCATGTCGGGAATCGAACCCGGGTCTTCGGCGTGACGAGCGAACGCTTTAACCACTAGGCTACCCGACCGCCCCCTATGTAATGAGAACCTAGGGGGCAGTGTTAGACAGTCGCGTAGAAGCCAGAGCCCAGTGCAATCTCATTAAAATCTACTGTTTACACCAGAAATGGACTTCACACATTGTACCCATGTGGGGAATTGAACCAGGGTCTTCAGCATGAGGAGCAAACGCTTTAACCATTAGACTACCCATGCAACTGCCCCAGTGATTCACGTGATTCAAGACATATATATACTCGGACCCCGTGGTACCGCGGCATTCATCGTATCGCAGCATTTATGATTTCCGATAGTTCACGCGGGACACGCCTCTTAGTGGCTATCTATTAATGCAAATCAGTAACCAGGAAGTGCTCACTTCGTAAACAATTTCAATTTCCTCGGAATGTTCCGTCTGCTGTAAGTAAGGAGTTATTAATCCGTTGATACATATTTCTGGCATCTGTAATATTGCCTTACCCCCATCTATCAATGGCCAACGATATAACCCGCAGTTCCCCAAGTAAACTTTCTCTATCGACCTGAACTAGATCATCTGCATATTCATGGCGACTAATGAGGTAACGGAAGTTACGTAGTCCGTACATTTTTCCCCGCTCTGTGCCCAGAATCTATTGGGAGATAATAAGGGCCATAATGCCAAACTTAGAAATACGTTATTCACTAGTAACCAAAAGATAAATACATACTTTGGGCATACTAGGAGTGCTTTTTATATATTTATTGTTGAGTTTTAACATTTTTCCATTTTGTGACAAATTATTGTCATCCAATTTTTTTTAAACAATCTTAAAATATCATTTCTGATATTTTGTTGTTGACTTATAAAAATATTTTTCTCTTACTTTTCGGTAAAAATGCATTGAATACCTATTGCTGATAACACATTTAGAATTTTACTTGTGCTGTCTTTGCACATGTCTGGACAAATCACTGATGTCTGGCATGATCATACCAAGCGGTTGGTAGAATTATGTCCTCTTTTTGTCCAATTCGGACCTCCATACACAACTTTTCTCTGTACCGCGATACGATGGAGTTCTCTCCCTTGTCAAACTGAGCGCGAGGCCCGGCTTTTACTCGGAGCTACTAATGTAAACAATGAACTTTTATCAGTAAAATATGCATTGTTAGATAAAATAAATGACATCTGATATAGAGAACACGAATAATCATAAAGGTTAGTGAGTGCATTTTGTTCCGTTAGCGTACATGACAAGTCCCGCGATACCCCGAGGTTGCAGGCTACATGTCATGGTTACGTAGTAGGCTAATTAGCCTTTGGAATAAAATGTCCCAAATTGGTCGCTATGACAACTCTTAAAAATATATCCATTATTTTCATAGGTGAAACCCTGAAGGTTTGACTTGAATAAACGCCTGTTCTATTTTTACGGTTCTGAAAACATGTATAGCAACACTTCGTACACATTTGGCAATGTCGAATATGGACTGAAACAATTGTGGAGACAGGTCGGGATTAGTAATGTCAACATATATGTGCATCTACATCTTATTTTTTGAAATTACACATACCAGCTTTTGGTCTTTTGGTTTCATGGGTGTCTGTCTCCATTTAGTAAAAGCCAAAGTAAGAAAGTAATCGTTGACTCAAACCTTTACACAGTCGTGCGTTTTACAATAATATTGAGAGTGACCTCCCCTTAGTTTCTATGCGCCAAGCTCTAGAGAGCACCGCGAACGGCCTATCGCTGTGAGGAGCTTCTCAATGCGCCAAGCTCCTTTCCAGCGCGTGACACCTTCTTCACAATCTCACAGCGATAACCCGTTCACTGAGCTCTCTATGATGTTCGTTCCAGTCTAAGCAAGCACAGAGACGCCAAGCGGAACCAGTCTACTCTTGCCCTGACTTCAGCACGAACGGAACCAGTCTAGTTGGGTAACGAAGGTGTCACGCACTGGGAAGGAGCTTTTCCGCGGCACACTTCTTGTTGTATTTGCGAGAATGGTTAAGTTAAATCCCAAGAACATTATTTTAGCTTTAGAAGAGCGCGTGTTTCATGGGTATTGAATGTTGTTTGTTTGTTTATTTGTTGTTTAACGCTGCACTCAGCAATATTCCAGCTATATGACGGCGGTCTGTAAATAATCAAATCTGGACCAGACAATCCAGTGATTAACATCATGAGCATCGATAGACGCAATTAGGATACGATGGCGTGCATCAACCAAGTCAGCGAGCCTGACCATCCGATCCTGTTAGTCGCCTCCTACGACAAGCACAGTCGCTTTTTACAGCAAGCATGGGCTGCTGAAGACCTAATCTACCCCGGATCTTCACGGGTCGTATTGAATGTTGAGATGTAAACGTGAGACTGCAACTGCAAATTGATGAATGTTCCTGTTTTCGTTTGATCAGAGATCATGCATTTATATAGCTGCACAAATGGTACCCATGCCAAAACAGCGAAAACGGCCGCACATCTAAAATGTATGACGTTTTGTTTAGTAATCAAATCATCTAACAGTTTTGCTCATGTAGGACGTGTTATATGTTCCAGAATGTCTGCCCTTCTCCCAGATCTCGACGTTTTAATAAAGTGTGCCTTGTAATTTACGGTCTAAAAAACTCAAATGTTTATTTTTAATATCAAGCTATGAAACCCATGAATGATCCAATTCAATCTTCGTCATCTTATCACCAACGCATTCAGAAACCCAAAATGCTTTCACTGCGGGGGTATGTTTTTAAAAATACAAATATAACCATCAAGGGTATTTCCAAATAACGACATCCAATGAGATTCCACCTTTCCTTTTGTCTGTTTGTTTGGGTTGAAAAAAACCCACGAATTAACATGCGCCCTTTGTAATATCGAAATCTTCATAGATCGCGGGTAATCCTTCAGTGTTCTGAAATGGGTATAGATATTGTCTCAAAATATATTTCCGCTATCCCTACAGACGGTAGCCCAGTCTCTTATCGCGCTTATAGTAGCCAGCAAATCGACTCGCGGCATGAGAGTGAGTGAGTTTGTTTTTACGCCGCTTTTAGCAATATTCCAGCATATCACGGCGGGGGACACCAGAAATGAGCTTCACACATTGTACCCATGTCGGGAATCGAACCCGGGTCTTCGGCGTGACGAGCGAACGCTTTAACCACTAGGCTACCCGACCGCCCCCTATGTAATGAGAACCTAGGGGGCAGTGTTAGACAGTCGCGTAGAAGCCAGAGCCCAGTGCAATCTCATTAAAATCTACTGTTTACACCAGAAATGGACTTCACACATTGTACCCATGTGGGGAATTGAACCAGGGTCTTCAGCATGAGGAGCAAACGCTTTAACCATTAGACTATCCATGCAACTGCCCCAGTGATTCACGTGATTCAAGACATATATATACTCGGACCCCGTGGTACCGCGGCATTCATCGTATCGCAGCATTTATGATTTCCGATAGTTCACGCGGGACACGCCTCTTAGTGGCTATCTATTAATGCAAATCAGTAACCAGGAAGTGCTCACTTCGTAAACAATTTCAATTTCCTCGGAATGTTCCGTCTGCTGTAAGTAAGGAGTTATTAATCCGTTGATACATATTTCTGGCATCTGTAATATTGCCTTACCCCCATCTATCAATGGCCAACGATATAACCCGCAGTTCCCCAAGTAAACTTTCTCTATCGACCTGAACTAGATCATCTGCATATTCATGGCGACTAATGAGGTAACGGAAGTTACGTAGTCCGTACATTTTTCCCCGCTCTGTGCCCAGAATCTATTGGGAGATAATAAGGGCCATAATGCCAAACTTAGAAATACGTTATTCACTAGTAACCAAAAGATAAATACATACTTTGGGCATACTAGGAGTGCTTTTTATATATTTATTGTTGAGTTTT